TAACATCAGAGATTATTATAAACAACTCTGTGCAACATAAACCGGTAAATCTAGAAGAAATGGATAAATTCCTGGAAACTTACACCCTTCCAAGTCTAAACCAGGAAGAAGCTGAATCCCTGAAGAGACCAATAACAAGGTCTGAAGTTGAGGCAGCAATCAATAGCCTACCAACCAAAAAAAGTCAAGGTCCAGAGGGGTTCACAGCCAAATTCTACCAGACATACAAAGAGGAGCTGGTACCATTCCTTCTGAAACTATTCCAAACAATACAAAAAGAGGGAAGAATCCCTAACTCATTTTATGAGACCAACATCATCCTGATACCAAAACCTGGCAGAGACACAACTAAAAAAGAAAATTTCAGACCAATATCCATGATGATCATTGATGTAAAACTCTTCAGTAAAATACAGGCAAACCGAATGCAACAGCACATCAAAAAGCTTATTCATCGAGTAGGCTTCATCCGGGTGATGCAAGGTTGGTTCAACATATGAAAATCTATAAATGTAATCCATCACACAAACAGAACCAAAGACAAAAACCACATGATTATCTCAATAGATGCAGAGAAGGCCTTTGACAAAATTCAACAATGCTTTATGCTAAAAATTCTCGATAAATTACGTATCAATGGAATGTATCTCAAAATAATAAGAGCTATCTATGACAAACCCACAGCCTTATCATACTGAATGGGCAAAAACCGGAAGCATTCCCTTTGAAAACTGGTACTAGACAAGGGTGCCCTCTCTCACCATTCCTATTCAACATAGTATTGGAAGTTCTAGCCAGAGCAATCAGGCAAGGAAAAGAAATAAAGCATATTCAATTAGGAAAAGAGGAAGTCAAATTGTCCCTATTTGCAGATGACATGATTGTATATTTAGAAGACCCCGTTGTCTCAGCTCAAAATCTCCTGAAGCTGATAAGCAACTTCAGCAAAGTCTCAGGATACAAAACCAGTGTGCAAAAATCACAAGCATTTCTATACATCAATAACAGACAAACAGAGAGCCAAATCATGAGCAAACTCCCATTCACAACTGCCACAAAGAGAACAAAATGCCTAGGAATACAACTAATAAGGGATGTGAAGGACCTCTTCAAGGAGAACTAGAAACCACTGCTCAAGGAAATAACAGAGGACACAAATAGATGGGAAAACATTCCATGCTCATGGTTAAAAAGAATCAATATCGTGAAAATGGCCACATTGCCCAAAGTAATTTATAGAGTTAATGCTATCCCCATCAAGCTACCACTGATCTTCTTCACAGAACTGGAAAAAACTATGCTAAACTTCATTTGGAACCAAAAGAGAGCCTGCATAACCAAGTCAGTTCTAAGCAAAAAGAACAGAGCTGGGGGCATCACGCTACCTGACTTCAAACTATACTACAAGGCTGCAGTAATCAAAACAGCATGGTACTGGTACCAAAACAGAGATACAGACCAATGGAACAGAACAGAGGCCTCAAAAGTAACACTACACACCTACAATCATCTGATCTTTGACAAGCCGGAGAAAAACAAGCAATGGGGAAAGGTTTACCTGTTTAATAAATGGTGTTGGGAAAACTGGCTAGCAATGTGCGGAACGCTGAAACTGGACCCATTCCTTACACCTTATACTAAAATTAACTCCAGATGGATTAAAGATTTAAACATAAGACCTAACACCATAAAATCCCTAGAAGAAAACCTAGGCAATACCATTCAAGACATAAGCATAGGCAAGGACTTCATGACTAAAACACCAAAAGCAATGGCACCAAAAGCCAAAATAGACAAATGGGATCTAATTAAACTAAAGAGCTTTTGCACAACAAAGAAACAATCATCAGAGTGAACTGGCAACCAACAGAATGGGAAAAATTTTTGGCAAGCTACCAATCTGACAAAGGGCTAATATCCAGAATCTACAAAGAACTAAAACAGATTTACAAGAAAAAAAAAAAAAAAACCCATTCAAAAGTGGACAAAAGGATATGAACTGGCACTTTTCAAAAGAAGACATCTATGAAAAAATGCTCATTGTCCATGGGGAGAAATGCAGATATAGGTGAAGGGGAAGAAGGCAGCAAATCACACTGCCACGTGTGTACCTATGCAACAATCTTGCATTTTCTTCACGCGTACCCCAAAACCTAAAATGCAATAAAAAAAAAATTCTCAATGTCACTGGTCATTAGAGAAATGCAAATCAAAACCACATTGAGATACCATCTCATGCCAGTTAGAATGCAATCATTAAAAAATCTGGAGACAACAGATGCTGGAGAGGATGTGGAGAAATAGGAACACTTTTACACTGTTCATGGGAGTGTAAATTAGTGCAACCATTGTGGAAGACAGTGTGGCAATTCCTCAAGGATCTAGAAATAGAAATATCATTTGACCCAGCAATCCCATTACTGGGTATATACCCAAAGGGTTATAAATTGTTCTATTATAAAGACACATGCACACATATGCTCATTGCAGCACTGTTTACAATAGCAAAGACTTGGAACCAACCCAAATGCCCATCAATTATAGACCGGATAAAGAATATGTGGCACATATACACCATGGAATACTATGCAGCCATAAAAAAGGATGAGTTCATGTCCTTTGCAGGGACATGGATGAAGCTGGAAACCATCATTCTCAACACACTAACAAAAGAACAGAAAACCAAATACCGAATGTTCTCACTCACATGTGGGAGTTGAATAATGAGAACACATGGACACACGGAGGGAGGGAAGGGAACGTAACACACTGGGGTCTGTTGGGGGTGGGGTGCTAGGGGAGGGATAGCAGGGGGTGGGGAGTTTGGGGAGAGATAGCATTAGGAGAAATACCTAATAATGTAGGTGACGGGGGGGGGTGGAGGCAGCAAACCACCATGGCATGTGTGTATCTATGTAACAATCCTACAAGATCTGCACACGTATCCCAAAACTTAAAGTGCAATAAAAAGCTAAAGAAGAGAAACTAAAAATACTTTTAAAAAAAATAGCTGGGTGTGGTGGCACGCTCCTGTAGTCCCAGCTACTCAGGAGGCTGAGGCAGGAGAATCGCTTGAACCCAGAAGGTGGAGGTTCCAGTGAGCCAAGATTAAGCCACTGCACTCCAACCTGGTGAAAGAGTGAGACTCCATCAAAAAAGAAGAAAGAGAAAAGAAAAGAAAAAAGAAAAGAAAAGAAAAGAAAAGAAAAGAAAAGAAAGAAAAGAAATAACATGTAGTAACAATTAGCTTTGGGAAATTATTATGGAAAAATTTACTAATTTGGTGATTAATAAAATCAAGACAAGTAAGCATGTTCACACGCTATCATTTTAGAAGTCAACAGGTTGTTTTTTGGCCTTTAAATATGCTCTATCTCGCTTATAAGCCATTAGGCAGCAATGAGAAGTGAAATTATCATTTTATAATTGTGTGTAAATCTCTAGTTTCTAAGTTTCATAACAGAGTACTCAAACAAGAAATAAAATGTTTTTTTTTTCTTTTTTTTCCCCATTTATTTATTTTATTGCATTAAGAAATAAAATGTGGATCAAAAGATCACAAAGCTACAGTAACTAAAACAATGTGGTGGTGGCACAGGAAAACTCAAATGAATCAATGAAAACAAATAGTCCAGAAATATACATAGTTAACAGATATCTTAGAATTTAGTATCTGTTAAAATGATACTTCAAATCAGTGGAGAAAGAAAGGACCAGGCGACCCTATCTCCTATTAGAACAAAAAGAAACTCTGGCAGTATTAAAAGTAGCAAAACTTAAAAAACTATCAATAGAAAACTTTAGAAAGTATATCTGTAATTCTCGAGGTGAAAAAAACCTTCCTGAACAAGAACCAAAACTCAGAAATCAGTAAGAAAAAAAAGGACTGGCAAATTTTAAAATTTTAGTTTAAAAAAAAACTTAAAATTGACTTCTTGATATATAGTAATTGGACATATTTATGTGGTACATGTGATATTTTAATACATGCATACAATGTATAATGATCAAATTAGGGTAATGGGAATATCCATTACCTTACAGATTTCTTTGTTCTGAGAATATTCCAAATCTTCTCTTTTAGCTATTTTGAAATAGGCAATAAATTGTTAACAACAGTCACCCATGCTATCAAAGACTAGAATTTATACCCTCTCTCTAACTGTATTTTTGTACCAATTAACCAGTCTCTCTTCATCCTCTCCTGCCTGCTTCCTTTTAGCCTCTGGTAACCATCAATCTATGCTCTATCTCCATGAGATCGATTTCTTCATATTCCACATATGAGTGAGAACATGCAGTATCTGTCTTCCTGTATCTGGCTTATTTCACTTAACATAATGTCCTCCAGGCTCATTAATGTTGCTGCAATGACAGAGTTTTATCCTTATTTATGGTTGAATAACATTCTACTGCGTATATATACTACATTTTCTTTATTCACTCATAGGTTAATGGACACTTAGATTGGTTCATATCTTGGCTGTTGTTAATAGTGCTGCCATAAACACAGAAGTGCACATTCCTCTGTGACATACTGATTTCCTTTCTTTTGGATGTATACCCGGCTGTGGGATTGCTGGATCATATGGCAGTTCTGCTTTTAGTTTGGTAAAAAGTCTTTTTCAAAGGGTATTGAAATCTATCATATATGTGAAAATAGACAGATGAAAATAAATGTATTAGTTTGTAAATATCTCTGCAGAGTAGAGAGGAACTGGGAAGGGGAAACAGCATTCGGATCACAGAACATTTCTGTTGCTTTGAAATTTTTTTTTTGCAATGACTACATATTACTTACAAAATGTTTTGAGTAAAATTTTTTAAAAGAAGTAAAATGTGAGAAACAATTTAATCCTTAGAACATATAAATATACATACTGTCAAATCTAAAAAGCTTCCAAATTATACAAATGAGAATGCTACTTTTTTCACTATATTTAATAATTACGTGATATTTAAAGTAGAATTAAAATCCTGATCAGTGGTAAATCTGGTACCTTGGCTTCTTCAAGTTCCTTGTTGGCGGTATCCACCACAAAATTTTTCTCTTTTTGTAGTTGCTCTGCAAGTTGGTCAATTTTAATCAATTCTTTACAAAGATGCTCATTGTGGCTGGTTAAATCGTCTACTTGACTGCTTACCACCTCCTTACTATCCAAGAGTTTCCTAACATAGTCTTCCAAGCCATGATTTGTCTGTTTGAGATCTTCAATCTGTTATGATTAGAAAAAAAATAATCACTATGTGACTGCAATTAGGAAGGGAGATTTGCTTCCCTGCCAAGGAAACTTAATTGTATACCTTTTTGTGCCTTATGAATTTTGTACCATGTGAATGTTCTACATTTTTGAAAAAATATATTAAATAAAAATTTTAAATTTTATAGCAATATCTTTCAATTTATAGTTTCTTTTAAAAAGTACTGTTGATTTTTAACCAGTCTATTAGAAAAATGGCCAAATATTCATATCTGCAATAAAGAAACTTCAATACTTTTGAAATTAGTTTTACTACCATTAAGAGTTCTTTATAATTAAATTTCCAATTATTGTTATTAAAATATATTAACTCTTTTAAGCCAGGCATGGTGACTAACGCCTGTAATCCCGGCACTTTGGCAGGGTGAGGCGGGCAGATCACCTGAGGTCAGGAGTTTGAGACCAGCCTGGCCAACATGGTGAAACCCCAACTCTACCAAAAATACAAACATCAGCTGGGTATGGTGGAATGCACCTGTAGTCCCAACTACTAGGGAGGCTGAGGCACCAGAATTGCTTGAACCTGAGAGGCAGAGGTTACAGTGAGCCCAAATCCTGCCACAGCACTCCAGCCTGGGTGACAGAGCAAGACTCCATCTATTAAAAAAAAAAAAAGTATATACATATATATGTATATATATTATTAACTCTTTTTTAAAAAGTCCATTTGAACGTATCAGTAACTTACTTGACTAAGCTAAATACCAAATCAATCAAGTATTTGCTGCCTAATGTGGAGGACCACAGCTTTCCTTCCCAGCCCACTATCAAACCATCAATGGATGAAGAAAAGGGCCTTTTCTATCACGAAGGTATCCAAATGCCTTTAAAGGAAAAAAAAAAAATTAGACCTATTGACCAATGATTATGTCAGGAACTGTATTAAATTCCAAAGATACAAAGATAGGTTAGATATCTGCCCTCAAGGAATCTGTTATTTATTTGAGGAAATACAAATATAATATGTTAAGTGCAGTAACAAAAATAATTATGAGGTAAAGTTGTGGTAAAAATACTTTTCCATAGTACTTGTCTCTCATTGTTTATTTAACAAATATTTATTGAGCACCTATTGTGTTTAAGATACTGTGTTGGTATGCTATAGCAGACGCAAAACAAAACAAAACAAAACAAAAACCACACTCACACACAGAAGTTTCAGTGTGTAAGGAGTATCTGAAATTGCGAATCCCTGACCTCTTAGTTCTAGCATTATTCTTGCCCTGAGGTTGCCCTTTTCAAATAGCTATAGAGGCATCATCTTCCAAACCATCAAAATCAACAGTTGTCTTCAAAAAAAACTTTGTAAGTTGTCACTACATAAAAAATATCCTAAAAGTCATGAATTGGCTGGGCGCCGTGGCTCACGCCCGTAATCCCAGCACTTTGGGAGGCCACGGCGGGTAGATCACAAGGTCAGACCAGCCTGGTCAAGATGGTAAAATCCCATCTCTACTAAACATACAAAATTCAGCCTGGCATGTAATCTCAGCTACTCAGGAGGCTGAGGCAGGGAACTGATTAAACCCGGGAGGTGGAGATTGCAGTGAACCGAGATTGTGCCACTGCACTCCAGTCTGGACGACAGAACAAGGCTCTGTCTCAAAAAAAAAAAAAGTCATGAATCATTTTTAAAATGCTAAAATGCCATTTATTGTACGCAGCAAACAACACATCAAGAGGCATAATTAAAGTTGTTATTTTAATCCAGTATCTCCTACTATCTTCTTCTCTCTTGGCCTTTTCCCATCTACTCTTAAAAATTCTTTGAAAATGCAAATTTGAGGTCATTCCTATAATCTTATGTTGCCTCATGACACTAAGAATAAAATTTTAAAATGCCATTTATGATCCCAGCTCTACTTACCTGTCCAGCCTAACTTCCCACCACCAGACACACTATAAAAAACAATCTCATTAAAAATTTATTTTAGAGGACTTACTGAAATGTACACATTTGAAACTGAAAGGTCATCACAGAACCCTCTGAGAATCTTCAAGGAAAACCCTGCTTAGGCTTCAATTTCAGGAAAATATATGCCTTTTTTGGATACCTGGTTTGTTCTTACCCTAACGCTCATTGATTATTTAACTAATATTTCTATTTGTCTTTGCCTTTAGAAATTTTAAAGCTAAATCTAAAGTCCACCTCTAGCAACTTATACCAAAACTATGTACAGTGATGTTTGTTGTCATCGCAGGCCTTCGCTGTTTCCTTATTTTATCCTACCCTTATTATTTCAGTTACCTTCTTTCAAAACAAGCTATAGTATGTGAAGCAAACGCATGATGTCCAAGTTATGCTTTTCACCTTTGTTCACGGCTTCTCCTATGCCATGTTTCTCAGCAACAAGGGCACACTAAAAATGTCTGTTAACTTCCCATGCACCAGGAGATGTTAAATGCTTCTCCTTTCCAGTATGTGTGCCCATAAGGCCTTTTATATAAGTTTATCTCAATATTTTATAAGATACATTAAAATCATTTATTTCCCTTTCCCTTCCACTAAATTCTAAACAACTTAAAGGACTGTATGTTTCATTTATGTATCAACATATCACTCGTTTCTACATCATTTATTATGTATCTCACATAATCCTCAAATTTTTAGGCAAATAAAACAAATTATCAGTAATATAAATGAACACTCCCCTCAATTCTCTCATGAAACTCTACTTTTACTCAATTCTAAGACAAAAGAACTTTAGAAGAGGCGGTCTAGAGCAATACAAAGGATGTGGGCTTTGGAATTTGGCAGAGTTAGGTTTAAATCCTGTTGTAGTTCTTTACCAGTTATGTAACTGGGCAATTTACCATATTTTCGTGATCCTAGGAAATGCATCTGACTCCAGATTAAAAAAAAAAAAAAAAAAGGGAGTCTCTCGAGTTTCTTCTGTTAAATGGACAGAATGCCTACAATTTGCAGAATTGTCATTAGACATTATATAAGAGCTCAAGTACAATTTCCAGTATAAGTACTCAGTATTTTTTTAATTTTTAAGTAAGAGTCACAGGAAGCAAATGTAGTACAGAGAAGTCTCATACGTCCTTTACTCAGTTTCCACTGATAGTTGGGTCATAAACAGCATAGTACTGTACAGTAACGAACCCAGATACACCATGTGCATGGTGTTCTACATCATTTTTCTCAAACTTGCAGATCTCTGTAACTACCACCTCAAGATACAGAACTGTTCCATTACCACAAGACTAATCTCTTGCTGCTCCTTTATGTTCTCATTCCCCACCTCAATTCTTAGCAACCAATGCATACAATTTTGTCATTTTGAGAACATTATCTAAATAAAAGCATACAGCATGCAATCTTTTAAGATTTTTTTTTTCACTCATCACAACATCCTTTAGATCCAGTCAAGTTATTTGAATCAAATAGGTTCATTCCTATTTATCGCTGAATAATATATGGAATGCCACAGTTTAGGTTGTTTACAGTTTGGGAATATAATAAAGCTGCTATGAACAACTGAGTAGGATGTAAGTTTTGAGTAGATATAAGTTTTCATTTCTCTGGAACAAATGCCCAGGAGTGCAACTGCTGGGTTATATGTAAATGTATGCTTAGTCTTACCAAAAAGTGCCAAATTATTTTCCAGACTGGCTATACCATTTAATATTCTTATGAAATGAACGGAATAAATGGGTGATCCAGTTTCTCCTCATCCTTGCCAGCATTTGGTATTGTCACTATTTTTTATTTTAGTCGTTCTTAGAACTGTATTATTTCATCATGGCCTTAATGTGCATTCCCCTGTTTACAGAGGCTGAACATCTTTTTCTATACCACACATCCTTCTGTGAAGTATCTCTTCATGTCTTTTGCTCATTTTCTAATTAAATTTTTTTACTATTAAATTTTAAGAGTTCTTCGTTTGATACACCAGATATGAATCCTTTAGCAAATGTATGGTTTGCAGCTTGTCTTTTCATCATCTTAGCAGGGTTTTCTGCAAAGCAAAAACTCTTTTTTTTTTTTAAACAGAGTGTCACTTTTACCCAGGCTGGAGTGCAGTGGTACAATCTCAGCTCACTGGCAACCTCTGCCTCCCGGGTTCAAGTGATCCTCCCAACTCAGCCTCTTAAGTAGCTGGGACTACAGGCCTGTACCACCATGCCTAGCTAATTTCTGTCACATTTAGTAGAGATGGGGTCTTGCCATGTTGGCCAGGCTGGTCTTAAACTCCTGGCCTCATGTGATCTACCTGCCTACTAAAGTGCATGGATTACAGCCATGAGCCACCACAGGCAGCCAAAAACTTCAATTTTGATTAAATCCACATTGCCAATTTCTCCTTTTATGAGTCATAGTTTCGGTATCCTATCTAAGAACCCTCCACCCAAGCCTAACATCCTGCAAATTTTCTCCTATGCTACCTCCTAAAAGTCTCAGTCTTATGTTTTACATTTAAATCTGTGGTACATTAGTTAATTTTTTATGACATGTGAGGTTTAAGTGGAGGGTAACTGTTTTCCCTATATCTAATTGTTCCAACACCACTTGTTGAAGACTATCTTATACTGGGTGTGGTCGCTCACGCCTGTAATCCTAGCACTTTGGAGGCAAGGTGGGCAGATCATGAGGTCAGGAGATCGAGACCATCCTGGCCAACATGGTGAGACCCTGTCTCTACTAAAATACAAAAAAAAAATAAAAAAAATAAATTAGACATGGTGATGCATGCCTGTAGTCCCAGCTCCTCGGGAGGCTAAGGCAGAGGAATTGCTTGAACCCAGGAGGCAGAGGTTGCAGTGAGCTGAGATCACAGCACTGCACACCAGCCTGGCAACAGACCAAGTCACTGTCTCAAAAAAATAAATAATTAATTAATTAATTTAAAAAAAAAAAAACAAGAAAACACTATCTTCCATTGAACTGCATCTTGATCTTTGTCAAAAAATCATTTGGCTGTACTTGTATAGGACTATCTGTAGATTCTCTGTTCAGTACCATTCATGTACGTATCTATCCCTCCATCAATATCACAGTCTTGATTACTGCAGTTCTAAGCGTTTAAATAACGGAGAGTTTTGTTTTTGCTGCCTTCCTGTGGATTACCCCAACATTTTTTTAGAATTCTATGTTGATTTATAGTGTTTTTGTGTGTAACTCGTTTGATCTTTTTCTACTGGTTGTCCTAGGCATTACATTATATATACATAACTTATCATAGCCTATATTTTAACAGTTCAAGTGAAAGTACAGAAACTTTACCTCTTTTAGATCCCTTTACTCTCCCTATCAATAAAAGAATTGTCTTAACTATTTCCTCTACATGCATTTAGAACCACATTCAATAGTTAAATATAATTCTGAAAACTTTAAAAAAAATTTGGCTGGGACTAGTGGCTCAAGCTGTAATCTCAGGACTCTGGGAAGCTGAGGCAGGTGGATCACTTGAGTCTGGGAGTTCGAGACCAGCCTGGGAAACATGGCGAAACCCAAACTTTACAAAACAATGCAAAATCAGGCCAGCATGGTTGTATATGCCTGCAGTCCCAGCTACTTGAAAGGCTGAGGCAGGAGGACTGCTTGAGCCCAGGAGGCCAAGGCTGCAGTAAGCAGAGATCACGCCAATGCACTACAGCGTGGATGATGAAGCAAGACCCTGTCTCCAAAAAAAGAAAAAGGAAAGAAAAGAAAAAAAAAAAAGAAAATCTATTTCATTTACCTATATTTTTTGCTCTATACATTATTCTTCCTTCCTACTTCTCCAAGATTACTTCTTTTATTGTTTCCTTTCTGGTTAGAAAAATTCTTTTAGCTATTCTTTTAGCTGGCAACACATTACCTTAATTTTCCTTTATCTGAGAATGTCTTTATTTTCCCTTCATCCTTCAAGGATACTTTCTCTGGATATAAAATTCTGGGTTGACAGGTTTGTTTGTTTGTTTCTAGCACTTGAAAAATGTTGTGCCACTTCCTTACCTTCAATCTTTCAGATGAAAAATATCTGCTGTCACTTGAATTGGTGTTCCTCTATAGACAATGCATGGTTTCTCTTTCAGGATTTTTTTTTTTAGCTTACTTTTCAAAAGCCTAATTATGAAGTGTCTTGGCATGGATTTTTTTTTTTTTTTTTTTTGGTGACTCCTGTTAGGTATTCACTCACCTTCTTTAATCTGCTCTATGTCTTTGTGCCAAATTTGTGGGATATTCAGCCATTATCTCTTCAAATATTTTTTCAGTACCACCTTCTCTCACTTTTTTGTCGAACAGTTTTACCTGTCTCTGAAGCTCTATTCACATTTTTGTCAATCTATTTTCTCTCTGATGCTCACATCAGGTAATTATTTTTCTATTGTCATGTTCATCGATTCATTTCTCTCCTCCATTCTATTGAGAACACTGAGTTTTTATTCTGTTACTCCATTTTTAAAACTTGTTTTGTCATAAAATATATATAAATAATTTTCATTTTAAGTATATAATTCAGTGGCATTAAGTATATTCACAATGTTGTACAACCATCACTACTATCTATTTAAAGAATTTTTTCATTCCCCTCAACCAAAAAACTCTGTACTGATTAAACAATAATTCTATCTCCTTGAATTTGCCTATCCTGGGTATAGGCAGAATCAAACATTAGTTGTCTTCCCATGTCTGGCTTATTGTACTTAGCATAATGTTTTTGAGGCTCATTCATTTTGCAGCATTTATCAGAATGTGATTCCTTTTTGAATCTGAATAATATTCCACTGTAAGCACATACCATATTTTGTTTATCCATTCATTTGTTGACAGACATTTGGGTTTTCTTCTACCTTTTGGCTATTGTAAATAATGCTGCTATGAACATTTATATATAAGTATCTACTGGAGTCCATGTTTTCAATTCTTTAGGGTATATACCTGGGAGTAGAATTGCTGGATCATATGGTTAGTCTGTCTTTAAAATTTTGAGAAACCATCAAAAGATTTTTCACCATGGTGGCACCATTTTACATTCCCATCAGCAATGCACAAGTTTTTCAGTTTCTTCACATCCTCACCAACACTTGTTATTTTCCATTATAACAACCATCCTAATGGGGATGAAGTGGTATCTCATGGTTTTGATTTGCATTTCTATAATGGTTGGTGATGTTGAGCATCTTTTTCATGTATTTACTGACATTTGTATATCTTCTTTGGAGAAATGTCTGTTCAAGCCCTTTGCCCATTTTTGAATCACATTTTGGGGAAAAGGGGCTAGTTGCAGAAGTCCTTTGTATATTCTGGATATTAAGCCCTTTCAGATAGGTAATTTGGAAATATTTGCTCTCATGTAGTTAATAGACTAAGTTTTTAGAGTAGTTTTAGGTTTACAAAAAATTGATTAGGAAGTACAAAGAGTTCCTACATACTTCCTCTCTCCCTCAACACATAGCTTCCTCTATTATTTACATTTTGTATTAATGTGGTATATGTGTTACAATTGATGAAACAATATTGTTACACTATTAATAACTAATGTCTATAGTTCACATTAGGATTCACTCTTGGTGTTATTCATTCTGTGAGTTTTGACATACATAGGGTCACATGTATCCACTATTAGTGTATCATACAGAATAGTTTCACTGCCCTAAAAATCCTGTGCTCCACCTATTCATCCCCTCTCCCTCCAATTCCTGGTAACTACTGCTCTTTTTATGGTTTCTATAGTTGTATAACCTTTATGTAGTTGGAATCATACATTTCACAGCCTTTACAGGTTTGCAACATGCTTTCAAGGTTCCGCTGTGTCTTTTCATGGCTACATTGCTCATTTTTAAAAGACACTGAATAGTACTCCATTGTATGGGTGTACAACAGTTTGCTTATCCATTCACCTATTGAAGGACATCTTGGTTGCTTCTAAGTTTTTGGCAATTATAATAAAGCTGCTATAAACATTCATACATAGTTTGTACTCACTGACTGACTCTTATGTTTATCAAAATGGTTAAGATAAAAATTGAATGATTTTAGACCCATAACATTTAAACGAGCTCTGAATTAGTAGTTATTTATTCTCTATCTTCTTGTTTCAAAATAGGTTCCCATCCCAAATTGACTCAGGAAAACATGTTGTAACTAAATGCAACCTGTAATTTCAGTGTCGAGATGAATCTGTCTTGATTTCTCACTTCTCGTTCTAGCTGGAGGGTATTCTGGTAGTTTTCAGCTTCAGAAACTGGAGCCCCTAGACCAAAATCATGTTCTTTGGTGGTAACCTAGTAGAAAGAATGGGAAATAATATGGAGGCATTTGATTTAAAACAGCTCTATGATTTCCCACATCAGTAAATTTTGAAAATTAATAATATTCCTAGATAGGTTTTTAGCCATTTCCCATCAGCTAAGAGGATTTCATCAAACTTTACCTTCCTAAAATTTATAAAGCTTTTTCTGTGTGTTGTCCAAATGGTACTGAACATGTTTTCAAAGACAATCCCTACCCTATCCTTTTGGTAATCATGGTTCTACAGAAATATGGGTCAGTAGCAAATTAAGCAGTCTACCTCTACAGGCTTGTGTTGTCCAAAATAGCTACTAGCTAGCCACATTTGCTGTTTGCTACTCCATATAAGCAAAAGGTTTGCAATTCATATCACAAAATTTTCCTAATATATAAATAATTTCTAGAAATAAAAAAGATAAAGAATTACTCTAATAGGAAAATTGGCAAAGAATGTGAACATTTACAGAAATGGCTCTTAAATATATTTTAAGATGTTCAATCTCAACCTTTACTGACACAAATTAAAATAACACTGAGATACCCTCTTTTAACCATCACACGGCAAAGATCAGTAAGTTGCATATATAACATAGCATCCTTACACATCACCAGTGTATAAACTGATAGAATATTTATGGAGAACAATTACAAAAAAATCTATCAACATGACAAATGCATATAGCTTCTGTTCAAACAATCTCATTTCTAGGAATTTATACTACCGATATATATACATACACATATGCAAAATAACAAATGTTAGAGACTTTTCACTTTAGCATACATACTACTCTGCATCATGCTGTTTTACTTGACAACCTATCTTAGAGATTGTGTAACTTAGGGAAATAATTTTTTCTTTCCTTGAATCAAGGCTATCATTGTGTTAAAAGAAAATTTGTTATGAGCATCTTAGATCTTTCCTCAAAACACAGCTTCTGTTCTCCAAAGTCCCACCTAGGGAATTACAGAATCAGGATCTCCCCAGTCACTGACCTTATGTTGCACTCTGTGTAACCCAGCACCTAAACAGGTGGGTAGATTTATTTCCTTTTTTTTTTTTTTTCTCTTCCCTAAACAAAACCCAATTGTTCTTCATTGCAGCAGTTACTGCCCCACCTGGAACCTCAGCATTAGATCTCACAGAATATTTCAAATTATGAAGCATTTAAACCCCTAGGAGCTGGGGTTAAATGCTTCATAATTCCCTAACTAACATTTCTTACACAGTTTCTGCTGAAAAATGTGTTCCTAGTTATAAACATTTGATTTAGAATAACAGAGTGAAATGACTCCTCACTAGAGCAGTACTTTCCAATTTTTATTGAATGTTAAGAATCATCTGGGAATGCTGTGTGAATGCAGATTCTTATTCACAAACTGAGATTAGACATTTCTAAAAAGCTGCTTGGAGATTCCTATTTGGTTAGTACAGAGACTACATGCTGAATCATGCTGTGCTGTAAATTCTGATTTATTTAAATAGCAAGAATCTATTTAATTAAAGTCTAAATTCATTCAGAGTACTTTTGTAATTTGTCTCTTCCTACTTGTCCAAACTTATCTCTTACTTGACGCCTCCAAGAACCCCTCTATGAAAGACAAACTATGAAACACATATTTTTTTAGAGGGTCTCACTCTGTCACCCAGGTTGCCATAATCACATCTGACTGCAGCCTCAACCTCCCAGGCTCAAGCAATCCTCCCACCTTAGCCTCCCAAATAGCTGGGACCACAGGCATGTCCCACCAAAATTGGCTGTTTTAAATTTTGTAGAAACAGGGTCTCCCTATGTTGCCCTGGCTGGTCTTGAACTCCTGAGCTCAAGAGATCCTCCCACCTAGATCTCCCTGGGATTATAAGCATGAGCCACCACACCCAGCCAACATATTATTAACACATATGCTCAAAAGTATTTTATCATCTGCTCAATGAGCCTTGCCCTCAGTCTTTTCTCCATTTAACTTAATACATTCCCAAGGCTCAGTTTGAATTCCACATTCTCTAGGTTTTCTCTGTCTTCTCCATTGCATAATGATCATGCCTTCATTGATATTCATATAGAGAGAACAATTCATGTTCTAAATTTTTCTGGATGTCTTCCTCATACATTTATTAGAATCTTAAGAACAAGCAATGTCCACAAACTCTCTATATCCCCACTAAACCTATAGTTATTTATGTAATAAAAAGTGTCAATAAAAATTTGTTGAGATTGGTAATAAAGCAGTGTGATAAAGCAGAAAAAAATTAAACTTTCTTCCTTCACCTTGGTAAACCAAATAAAGTGAGGCTTTTGCAAAATTACCTATCAGGCCCGGCTAGGAACTGAAAATAGGGAGAAACCATGAGTCCACCTGACAACCCTAAGCAATCATGTTGGAGTTGCTACCTTCCTTCTACCAGCTTTGGAGGCAGTATTACTGGGGGAAAGAAACATCAGTGTATCTGAAATTCCTATGCCTAGCCTGCCAGTTTCCCCACCTCAAGCCACCTGAATATCTTCCATGTTGCTGCAATCTCTAACATCAATTAGAATGGAACTTGTGTTCCTATATAGTTCTTAGAGAAGGCAAGTAAAAGAACTTTCCTTTTTTAAAAAATTATTTTTAATTTGTTATTTTTTATTTTTTTCAAGGTGAACTCTACAATAAGAAAGAACCTTCATTCTCAATTAGGAAGTCACATAGCAGAGTGGTTAACAGCATGTATTTTGGCATCAGCCCACCTACATTCATTATCCTAGTTCTGCCACATCTTAGCTGCGTGACATTGGGTGACCTGGTTACTTTTCTATGGCTTCCTCATTTACAAAACAGGGATGATAATAAGTGTCTGCACCACAGAGTTACATGAGGATTAAATGAATTAATATATGTTTTAACTTTAGCACTTAGAATAGTGCCTGGCACATAATAAGCACTACATATATTATTATTTACTATTATTACTAATTCTTCTCACTGAGTCAACTTATTTAATTGGCTATCAAGTCCTACTGATCTTTTCAATAAAAATTCTCTCAGCTACATTTCTTCCATCCCTACTATCACTGTTTTAGCTCATGTTTTCAGACTGTAGCAGTCACATGTATTCACTTTACAAGTAAACTTATAAATAGCTAGAATAAAAATGAACCAGATACATGTTTCTGGGAATAAAAAGGTGTAAAACAAATAGAACTCTATAATTTCAACGCTAAATGAATCTAGGAAAGTCCACAACGAATCAGAAATTACAGCACAGCATGATTACTGCTACATCAGAGTAATACATATAGATGCTAAGGTAACACCGAGACAGAGGCTACAAAAAAAGTATTTCTGACTTCTACTTCTTCAAAAAAGACTTAGGATCTACTCCCCATTCCATAAGAACTATGAACATATCCTTACTGGAGCACTTAACACATTATATTACTTTTATAGGATGTCCAAGTCATGGCTACTTTAACATGTCTAAAACAGACTTCTTAATTTCCCCACCTGCACCTTTGATCTCTATTCTGCCTCCATTGTGTTCTTTCCCTGCCTTCATCATGTCACACCATCTTTTGTGTAGGCACTTGCCCCAGGTAAAAAGCTGAGGAGTTTTTGAGTTTTCTCTTTTCCCGATTCCCATCTAACTGATTAGCAAACCTTGTTGGTTCCACCTTCAAATATATATCCTAAATCCATCAATTTCTCTATATTTTTCTTATCACCTCCCTAGTCTAAGTCACCATCATTTCCCACCTAGAACACTGCAACCATTCCCTACTGTCTGCTTCTACTATTGCTCCCTACAACCTATTCTCCACATTGAAATCAAATCAAGCACTTCAAAATAATGAAATCCTGTGGGAGGGGAGAAGAAAGGAGAGGGAAAAAACAAACAAACAAAAAAGAAAATTACAGTAAAATGATACTGGCTCAAAAATATGCCAGTGGCTTTCCACTGCAATTAAGAATAAAATCCAAACTTTTCAAGGCCTTAAATGATTTGGCCCTTGTCTTCACTGTAAAGATCTGGTACTCCCTTCTGTGTTCACCCACTTTTTCTTTCTGTTTCTCTAATGTGCTGCTTCAGTTTGAATGTCTGTGTCCTCAAAAAATTCTTAAGTTGAAATCCTAACCCCTAAAGTGATCACATTAAGAGGCACAGTCTTGGCCGGGCATGGTGGCTTACACCTATAATCCCAGAACTTTGGGAGGCTGAGGTGGGTGGATCACCTGAGGTCAGGAGTTCGAGACTAGCCTGGCCAACATGGTGAAAACACCCCTTCTACTAAAAATACAAAAATTAGCTGGGCACGGTGATGGGCCTATAATCCCAGCTACTTGGAAGGCTGAGGCAGGAGAACAGCTTGAGCCCAGGAGGCAAAGGTTGCAGCAAGCCAACATCGCGCCACTGCACTCCAGCCGGGGAGACAGAGAGAGACTCCATCCCCCCCAAAAAAAACAAAGGCATAGTCTTTAGAGGGTGATTAGGTCAAGATGAGTTGCCCATATACTATAGTCCCCAGAAAGCTTCCTCAACCCTTCTAATGTATGAGGACACAGTCTGAGGTATCATCTATGAACAAAAAAATAGGCCCTCACCACTGATTCTGCTGGCAACTTATCTTAGAATTCCTAGTCTCCAGAACTGTAAGAATTAAATTAATGTTGCTTATATATTTCATTACAGCACCCTGAATGGACTAAGATATGTGCCAACAGCATTTGACTTCAAGTCCTCTGCTCTTGCTTTCCCTCTCTCAGGAACCCTTTCTACCCAGCCTTTCACATGGCTATCTTCTCACCCTCAACTTTTTGGCTGAAATGTCAGGTCTTCCCTGATTTCTTACCTAAAGTAGCCTCTCTCCCAGTCACTCTCTCAAATAAGTGATAAGCTATTTGCACTTATCACTTCTTGAAATGATATCATTTATTTGCTCACTTGTTTACTGTCTGTCTCCCCCTACTAGCATATAAAATTGAAGAGCCCTAGGCTTTTGTCTTCTGTTATATCCCTATTGCCTTAAAAGTGCCCAGCACAAAGTTGAAACTCAATAAAACATTTCCAAAATAAGAAATTTTAATGATTCAAACAAAGCAGTTTCAATGATGGGTGAAAACAAGTCTGAAGAGGACGAATTTATGAATAAATGTAAACTTCTTTTAGGAAGCATGATTGTGAGAGGAAGAGAGGTATAGCAAAAGGTGTGGGGCGACCAAGGTTATGGAAAGGTCATTACAAAAGGAGAAAAACTTGCTCCTTAATTCTCTTTACAAAGGATCCTCTTTCAGAACTAAGGATGTATTGCCCTGAGACAAGAAAAAGCAAGGATACATAAAGATTTAGACACCTGTAATCTCAGTAATCCTAGCACTTTGGGAGGCCAAGGCCAGAGAATCACTTGAGCCCAGGAATTTGAGACCAGCCTGGAAAACATAGTGAGTCCCTGTCTCCACAAAAAATGAAAAAGAAATTAGCCAGGCCTGGTGGCACCTGCTTGTAGTCCCAGCTACTTGGGAGGCTGAGGTAGGAGAATAACTTGAGCCCAGGAGGTCAAGGATGCAGTGAGTCATAATCGCACCACTGCACTTCAGCCTGGGCAACAGAGTGAGGTATTTTGGGAAACAATCAGCAAACTAAATACTGCAAGCAACAATAAAGATTAATCTTAACAAAATACTGAGTAAAGAAGCAAGATGTAAATGAATACTTAGTACAATTCAATTTATAGGAAGTTCAAAAACAAGCCAAACTATAATGTGCATGTTCACATACAATGATGTAAAACATTAAGGAAAATCAAGGAAGTGGCTATCTTTGGGGAGGGAAAGGAACATGTAATCTGAAAAGGTGATACACAGTAATACCTCTAACTGCCTCTGTATACGGAGGCCTTCAAAACCAAATCGTCCTAAACAAACTAGTCTAAGCAACTGAAAAAGGAAGACAGAAAAGAGCCCCCAGTGAATCTCTACACCTGATTCTGGGCTACAAGCAGTGATTTTTCTTCAGAAGGTAAACAATGCATGAAATATTTTGGAAGCTGCCATTAAATAATGCCGAAGTTTAGTATTTAAAATTAATATTTCATTAATGTACCTTCCTAGTTATTTTTCACTAATTAAGACAGAAGAGTCTGGATAATAAATCAATTAAAATACAATCTGTTTTATCCTGGAGGCAGATTCGAAAGAGACATTCTACTTACATATTTATAACTAATCTGTTTTTTTCCTACTTACAAACCGATTGTTATTCTATTTATGTCCTCACAGGTAAACAAAGCATATTTGAAATGATGAAAACCAGTAGAGAAAATTTTAAACAAGGAAATTTCCTAGGATATAAAGGACTTGAATGGAAGAAGGGAAACGCTGGGACACTGTCATCTATGCAAACTTTCCTGAAGCCTCAAAAAAAAAAAAGTGAAAAAATGTACTTATTTCTGTGAGTTTTTAGGTATCAAGTTCTATGATCATTTAGTTATCCAATTTAAGTCTCAAATATGTTTTCAACGAAAGCCAGCTTTCCCTGCCTTACTGTACAACTCTTGCTGAAATTTATCTGAGATTTCCATGCAAATGCCTACGTAATCTCGGTCTTTCACCACCCCAAGTCTAGAAAGGGGTTCAGTAGTGAGCGATCGGGCGTCAGGTTTATCCCAAATCTGTGACTTCCAAATTCCTCGCTCCACCAGAGCTTCCAGAGCGTTTCTAAATAAAACAGTACCCCCAACAACCAAGCGGAAAGCTGCGGCAGGACGCAAAGCGGTGACCATAGGAACTGGGCTTCAACCTAACCTCCCAAGAAACAGGGGCAACGCGTGCTGCGGAGCTTCCGGTCGGCAGCTGTGCCCGCCGCCGCCCCTCACAGCGGCTCCCCCGGCTCCAGGCCACCTCCGCCCGCCACGGCCCCGCACCCGCCACTCCCGCCCGCTTGCAGCCGGCTTTTCGGAGACCTTCCGGCGCAGGAGCAGCTCTCCCCACCCTGCGCATCTCCGCAGCTTCTACCTGGAGCTCCGGGTCCCTCCCCGAGCTCCTTGGCCCGCTGTCCTCCCCAGAGCTCATCCCAGCGACTGCCAGCTCTCGGCCTCTGCCGGGGAAACGAGAACCGCCCAGTGTCCATCCTCCGCCCCTTTCTCCTCCCTTCCCACCCCCAAATCGTCCTGGCCCCGCCCCAGCGGAGTCGGAGGAAGGAGGGAGCGGGCGGGAAGGAGGCGGGGGCGGTTAGCGCCAGCCGGCGCCGCCGTGGCCCCGCCCTCACGCTCTGTACCGGAGTGGGGCTCGTCTTCCACCTCCCCGGCGCCCCAGCTTTGCTTCCGTCCCACGCGCCCCTAGGTTCCGTGCGCACGCGTACCTGGCTCGACCTTCCCTCTCGCGCTGACTACAAGCCGTGTGCGCGCACCTACGCACAGAGCGACGCGTACGTCCACCTGCCTGCCTTACAAGGCTACTTGGAGGCGGGGGCTTCTCCCGGCCTGTCCGCGCGGCGCAGGCGCACGCCCACGCAGCGCCTAGACGCCCGACCGGAGCGTTCCGTCTCCTAGTAACCAGCCGCGAGCCCCCTTTTCCAAGATTCACTTTTTATTCCCTGCCTGTGGCGGCCGTACCTGGATAGAACGCGCATGCGCAAGGCTGGCTGTCGCCGCGCCCTGCCTTCAGTTTGGAACACCTGAGTGGCTTTATGCCACTTTTCCCAGGGCTTGGACGTCATTCTGGACCCAAATTCGGTGAACCGCTTACTCCCAGAGCTGCAGCCAGGGCCCATTTTGAGGGAGGCTTCCAGGTCCAGTCCTCCCGCTGCAGCCTGCTGGTAGCAAGCCGACCTGTCCGGGTGAGCACCGGCAGCCTGCAATTAGGGGAGCCTGGGGACCACCGTCTCAGTCAGCTCTGGACGATCTGGGCTGAATCAGAAAGTAGCAGAACTAGCAACGAAAGTCCAGATTTCTGACCGATATTCCTTTTCCACATGCCAGTCCTTTTCCAAATCCCCTTACCTTAAAGTGGACAAATGAGCTTTTTGGTGAAAAAGAATGAGGGCTACATTCTTCTACCATTTTTTTTGGAGCCCAGCATGGAAAAAGAAATTCTTCTTAATATTTCTTAATATCTACCATGTCCCTTCTTAAATAACCCGAGTTTCTGGATGATAATGGCGACTTTATCTCCTTTTCCTACAGATGACATAGATACTAGGTTTTTACAGCAATTCTCTGATGACCTTGATATGGTAGAACGCTGTGTATTTCAAAAGTAAGCTCTCATTTGAGGAAACTAACAATTCCTGGTTTTGCCAGGTGAGTACTCATTTTTTTTCCCCACAAGATATCATTGGCAGGGATAAACAACTTTTATGTTAGAACAAATTTAGTCATAAAAATACATTTAATATAAGTGCTTTGTTTTTCTAATCTCTCTTCATCGTTATTACATAGTCATATATTTTGTCACATTTATTTTCAGATATCATATATTTTGTAAGTTTAATTAGATACCAATAAAATTAAGTGTCCCTGTTACTTTAAGAGGTTTGCGGACACAAGGAGCACATATCCTCTGAAATATTATTTTTAGTTGACAAAGTAAACTGAGAAGTTGTGTTAGAGGGAATAACATATAATCTCATTTCCTCTTCAGATACTAAGATTATTTTGAATACATTATCTAGCATTATTAAAAACAAATAGGAAAGAATGTTCCAAGTTTAAAACTATCAGTTGGAGTTGAAGACTTGGGGGGGTGGGTAGATTATTAATATAAGAAGTAGGAAAGTACTTCCCTTACGGAAAGAATAAGAAAAATTTAAGCACTTGTGTATGCCACCTAGATGGTACTGAAGATTCTTTGGAATGTAGGGAAATGATCATTTTAAGGTGAAGAGGGTGAAAAGACTCTTTTTTTTCCTACCAAGAACTGTTGGCTTTCTCCCCTAACCCGAGAAAGTAAAAATTTCCTTCCCTCTGTGGCAGGGTGGCTTATGCCTGTAATCTTAGCACTTTGGGAGACCGAGGTGGACAGATCACCTGAGGTCAGGAGTTCAAGACCAGCCTGGCCAACACGGTGAAAGCGCATCTCTACTTAAAATACAAAAATTAGCCAGGTGCGGTGGTGCACATCTGTAATCCCAGCTACTGGGAAGGCTGTGGCAGAGAATCACTTGAATGTGGGAGGCAGAGGTTACAGTGAGCCAAGATCACACCACTGTTTATATTGTTTTCATTGAATAGAAATTCTCAATTATGAGTAATCAAACTCACCTGTTTTCCCCCCTTATTGTTTAAGCTTTTTAGGTCTTGTTCAAGAAATCCTTCTTCACCCCAAGGTAACAGATATATTGTCCTTCATTTTCTTCTACTGCATTTACAGTTCTGCCTTTCACATTTAGGTCTTTAATGCATTTGCACTCCACTTCTGTATTTAAGATCCTGCTTTACTTTTGTCTTCATAGTGAGCCAGCATTCACAATACTATCATACTAAACTTAGTCTGTTCTATCTCCTTTGCCTTATAGTGCCACCTGTAACTTATGTGAAGTTCCTGAAATACCTAAGTCCAAGTTGCAGCTCAGTCATATTCTACTGATTATTTGTTCCTGTACCTGTACAAGGTTATTTTTATTACTTTCACTTTGTGGCATATTTTTTAAAAAAATTTTTTTTCTGATAGAGACAAGGTCTCCCTATGTTGCCCAGGCTAGTCTCAAACTGCTGGACTCAAGAGATCCTCCCAACTTGGCCTCCCACAGTGCTGGAATTACAGGCATAAGCCATTGTGCCCAGCTGTGTAGCATGTATATATATTTTTTTCATTTCAGTAGCACAGAGGCATATCTTAATATCTAGTAAAGAAAGCCTTTTTGTTCTTTTTGTCCAGATTTTGATTTATCTCTGTATGTACCTTTATTCTTATATATATATATATTCCAGATTTCTTCTTGAATGGCAACCTAAATGCCAAAGAGGCTCCAATAGACTTGTTCACCCTTCATGTCCTCAACTCTGAGGAAGTTAAGGTGGGACCCACAGAGCACCAAGTCTACCCTATTGTATTTGGTTCCTCCTCAGTCCCTTTATCTGAATGAAGTTTAATATGAAAATTGATAATTATGTAAGTTATTATTTTACATTTGTTGATTTTCAAATGCAATGTTTGATAGAGTTTTGTTTTTTAAAAACTTTTTTCAATTTTTTCAAAGAAGTTTTAAACCTACAGAAATGTAATAATAATAATAGGTAGAACCATTTTTTTATGCTTTATATCCTAGATTTATCAGTTGTTAGCATTTTGCATATTTTAACTCTCTTTCTGTATCTATCTAGCAACCTGTGTACCTACCTATCTATTGCTAACCAATTTGAGGGCATGTTGCAGATATGATTCTTCACCCGTATTTCAGTATGTATTTCCTAAGAACAAGGATATTGACTTATACAACCCCAATACAATTATCAATTCAAGGCATTTATCACATTGATCCAATATTAGTATCTAATAAATCTCCCACATCCAAATGTTGCAGTTATCAAAGTAATGATCTTTGTAGTACATTCCATCCCCTTCCCAATTCAAGAGCATTGGTTGCATTTGAAATCATGTATCTTTAGCCTCCTTTAATCTGAAACAGTTGCTCAGCCTCTCTGTGTCTTTCATAACATTGACATTTTTAGGTAGAAGCTATTTGTTTCATAGAAGATACCTCTGTTTGGTTTATCTGATTGTTTCCTCATGTTTAGATTCAAGTTATGCATTTTACAGTGGTAGTTCCTTTCTAACAAAAAGAGAAACCAAAGAATAGAATAAACTCAATTTTATTAATTTGAAGGCAGTATTAGATATTCCTTTGATGAGGAAGAAAAATTCATCTTCAGTTTCCAAATCTAAGAAACAAGTATACCCATATTTCAGAATTTCATCGAGAGATCTTAAAAAATTTAGCTATGATGTATTTGATTCCCAGAAAGCCAAATATATACTATTTACCTAATTGTTGTATTAACATTTGAGTAACTACTATATTTAGGCTACTACAGTAGGCCTAGGACTCTCTTTTATTACAAACACTGATATTTAATCACAAATATGGATAAACAGGGTTTCAAGATGATTCTTTAGAAATGTTCAGTAAGTAATTAGAGCTTGATGAGTATGAATTGTAAATTACCAAAGATATACGGTAGCTAAATATGAAAGACATAACACATTCTAAAACGTGGGTGAGGCTGGGTACGGTGGCTGACACCTATAATCGTAACACTTTGGGAGGCTGAAGAGTGTGGATCACCTGAGGTCAGGAGTTCGGGACCAGCCTGGCCAAGATGGCGAAACCCTGTCTCTACTAAAAATACAAAAATTAGCTGGGCATGATGGCGCACATCTGTAATTCCAGCTCCTTGAGAGGCTGAGGCAGGAGAATCACTTGAACCTGGGGTACAGAGGTTGCAGTGAGCTGAGACTGCATCACTGCACTCTAGCTTGGGCAACAGAGCAAGACCTAGTCTAAAAAAAAAAAAAAATTAGCTGGGCATGGTGGCAGGCATCTATTCCAGCTACTCCAGAAGCTGAGGCAGGAGAATCGCTTGAACCTGGAGGGCAGAGGTTGCAGTGAGCCGAGATCGCCCCACGTCACACCCCCCTGGGCAAAAAGAGCATAACTCTGTCTCAAAAAAAAAAAAAAAAAAAAGTGGGTGAGTGCTTTCACTCAAAGCTGTGGAATCTGCTCCAGATCTCACGTTGCTACTAGAGTATCCTCCAGTATTCTCCAGTAAGCCGGGCTTTCCCTAACCTTTACTGTGCCTGTCCCTTCTGCCATCCTGGTCAACTCTGCCTACCAGATTCCTGCCCATCTTTGAAAGCGCAACCCTGACCTAGGCTCCCCTCCTTTGGGAAACTTCCCAAGGCCTCCATCCATGCTGCATGATCATCTCTCTTAACAGATTGGGCATCCTTAATCACAAGTATCTTTTTCTTCTTTCTTCTTTTTCTTTTTTTTTTTTTTTTTTTTTTTTTTTTTTTTTTTTTTTTTTTTTTTTTTTTTTTTGGAGACAGAGTCTCACTTGTCACCCAGGCTGGAATGCAATGGCATGATCTCGGCTCACTGCAACCTCTTATCATCCGGGTTCAAGTGATTCTCTTGCCTCAGCCTCCTGAGTTGCTGGGATTACAGGTGCAGGCCACTATGCCCAGCTAATTTTTGTATTTTTACTAGAGACGGGATATTACCATGTTGGCCAGGCTGGTCTCAAATTCCTGACTTCCAGTGATCCACCCGCTTCAGCCTCCCAAAGTGCTGGATTACAGGTGTGAGCCACTGCACCCAGCCAATCACAAGTATCTTTATAGGACATCTTTATTTTTTGCAGAACACCTAGCAGAGTACTTGGCCTTCAGTAGTTATTTCTTTAGCCCATTAGTAATGAATTAAAAAGTTTTGCTAGCAAGAATGAAAGAAAGGATTAAGAGAAGTTCTACTAATTTCTGAAAGGTAATAAAACATAAAATCTGATTCCTTTTTAAAGATTTTCAAAGAATCTTTAGAACCTGCAAACCCTCCCACAAAGAAAATGTAAACACTGAAAGGTGGGAGGCAATTTTACTTTATATATCTAATATCACCATGGCATTTCATTCAAATGAAGATTGCCATGAAGTTAGGAAAATTCCTGCTGCATTCACTTGTCACATTTTTTTTCAGCAATCAAGTTGAAGAAACGTTTCCACTACTTAAAAAGGTACCTCCAAATTACTTTCATATTTGTTCAGCTATCCCAATGGGATTTTCACTTAGTAAATCTGCTACTCAGGTATCTGCTATATGTATGGATTCAAAAGTGGATGATCACCTAATACAAGGGACTGAAAAAAGCAGGCTGGAACCAATGACTCAGTTATTTCAAAACACCAAGAAAATAAGATTAGAAGACACAAATCAAGAAAACATTACAAGGATTGAAGGGACTGGCACAGGATCTCTTTCTGAGAAAGCCTTGGGTTCAGTGGTATACGTCAAAGAAAGTGATGGACTAGAAGTGACAGATGTGGAATGAAGCAATTTGTATGTATTTTCAATTTGTACGTATTGCCTTTGATTACCAGGGGGTATTGAAAGAGAACTTAACCTTATTAGGAAACCCTAACAAAATGACGGAAGACTATTGCTTTATTTTTCACTATTTATCAATCATCTTACACTGCATTTTTTGATGATGCCTATTCAAAAGGCAGTTGCTTTAAGGAGAAAAAGCCTTCCAAATTCAAAGCAGATTTCCCTGATATTATATCTTTCTTAAAAATGAGAGTTATTTAGTAACAGTATTTGAATGGCATCAAAACATTTCCATTTTAATGTATTTCTTTAACAGGTGGTTAAAAAAAAAAGTGTCCAAGCAGCCAGGCACGGTGGCTTATGCCTATAATCCTAGCACTTTGGGAGGCTGAAGCAGGTGGATCACCTGAGGTCAGGAGTTCACAACCAGCCTGGCCAACATGGTGAAACCCCATCTCTACTGAAAATACAAAAAATTAGCCAGGTGTGGTGGCAGACACCTATAATCCCAGCTACTTGGGAGGCTGAGGCAGGAGAATCACTTGAACCTGGGAGACAGAGGTTGCAGTGAGCCAAGATTGCACCATTGCACTCCAGCCTGGGCAACAAGAGCGAAACTCTGTCTCAAAAAACAAACAAAAAAGTGCCAAGCAATGTGACCTCTGTATTTCACACTATTTCTGATGTACCAGTTTTGCATATTACATTTCCATTTTGGGATTCTGCTTTAGGATACTTTCTTACATTTTGCATTTCTGTTCTGTAAAAGATCACTGCAGATAAACTGCAAAAGACCAATAAATTGCTTATCTTCAGAAGCATCTCACATTTTAAATTGTGCCTTTAAAACTGTTTTTCCCCCCACCACATAGAATCCATTTTAGAGTTAGAAAAGAGTTCTTTCCAAGTGTTAATAGTTATCTTGCACATAGTACCATTTTATGTCACCAATATTTAATATGAGAAAAACCACCTGGAGTTTAAAAAGTGTGTTTTGTATATCAGCTATTAAAATATCTTTAATATTCATTTTAAAAGAGGAAAGGGCATCTTTTCCAGAAGGAAGCTATATTTTATTAATCAGAAAAATACTAAACAAATGTGTTTGTAGGGAATATTGAGTGAAAAAAAAAATGTTGAATGGGACATAAGCCAAAAAGACAATGCTTTTTATCATCTAAGAAACATAATTCTTTGGGAGGCAAAAAGAAAAAAAATACACAAATCATTCATTTGTTCACCCAGCCTGGCACTGTGCTTGGCGCTGGAGATACAGTAGTGAATACAATAGTCACTGCCTTACAGAGTTTTGTGCCTGTCTACTAGGAAAGACAGGACATTATACAGTAATTATCTAAGATACAAATTGTGATATGACGTGAAGAAAAAATATAGCATACAGAGAGACACAGCACACACAAGACATACCACATAAAGCTGGGTGTTTTTGTTTTATTTTGTTTTGTTTAAGATGGTCTCACTCTGTTGCCCAGGCTGGAGGGCATTGCAGCGATAATAGCTCACTGCAGTGTCGAATATTCCTGTTCTTAAGTGGAATTCCTGCCTCGGCCTCCCTAGTAGTTAGGATTGCAGGCATGTGCCACCACACCCAGCATGTTTTTCTATTGTTTTTAGAGGCAGAGACTCACAATGTTACCCAGACAAGTCTCAAACTCCTGGCCTGACATGATCCTCCCGCTGGGCCGTAAACTTAATTTTAACGTGGGGTAACGGGAAAGCGTATGTCAGGACATTTTTGAAAGCAAGTTTATTAAGAAAGTAAAGAAACAACAGAATGGCTACTCCATAGACAGAGCAGCCTCAGAGGACATTTATAGCTTTTGCAGTGACATGGTTGACTAAGTGAATGATGGTGATAGTCATAAAAATGGAGAGAAGGGGACAGAGTCCAGGTGAAGTTTGACAGAATGTAGTCACAGTTTGGAAGTGGAAAGTGAGGAAGAAGAAAGGGTTTCTAGCAAAAAAAAAAAAAAAGGGCTAGATGCATGCAGGATCTCTGAAGAAAAAGAGTGAGTTCAGGAGCATGGTTTTTCCACTTACCAGGTTTACAAGGTAGTTGTATCTATGGAACTAAAAAGTGCAAATTTTGAAGTTGTATACAGAAATGGTACTTAAAGCCATAGAATGAATGAAATTGCTTAAGGAGAATGTAGTGTGAGATAAAGACCTGAAGAACTACAACATTAGATCTGAAGAACTACAACATTTAGGGGCTGACTAGATCAGGGTAGCTGGCAAAGGGGACTGAGGAATTTACAGGGTAATGTCATAGTTGTCCACAGGAATCTTTCCAAATGAACAGTCAGTTGAGGACTGAAAAGTCCACTGGATCTAGCAATATGAATGTCACCAATTACCTTAGCAAAAGCACTTTTGCTGGAATAATGGGGGAAGCCATTTTGGCATATGTTGAAACAATGAATGGGAAGTGAAGAAGTAGATTCTGGATGTGTAGCAGTTTTTCCAAGAAGTTTGGCTCAGAAGGGTAGTAGATGGGATGACAAGTGGAAAGAGAAGTGAGGTCACTGGAGGATTGTTAAAGAGTATAACATGTTTGAGTGTCACTGGAAGGTTCCAGTGGAGAAGCTAAAGAAGTAGGTAAAGGTAAGAATAACCAAGGGACAGATGTCTTGGAGCAGGGAGGAGGCAATGGGATTCTTAATTAAAACCTCTTCAGCAAGAAACTAGGGTGGAAAAAACCCCAAACTCTACCATCTCATATTTCAGAGAAAGAGAATTTAGAAGGAAGCATGTAAGTAAAGAGCAACAATATTCTGTGACTGTTTTTTAATAATAACAAGGAAAATTCCTACTGGAGTTAACAGAATTCATTCCCACCTGCATAATACAAGATAGACTAACTCAGAGTGACCTTAGTAAAAGGTGTAATCATAAAGAAATGAGATATCATTATGTCTTCATTGTAGCATTATATGAAGCCCTGGTCATTTACCGTATCAGTGTCACCAAACTGAACACTTAATGATTCTTACTCCAAGAGGCAAGTCTTAGTGGTTTCTATTTTAACTGAAGGAGAGATTAGTTTCTGTGCAAGAATGAAAAAGATAACCATAAATTCTTCGGGCGATAACCATAAATTCTTTGGGCTTCTCTCATCAAGAGGTAAACTCCAGTACCCCTTAACTCTGGGCTGGCTTTGTTGTTGTTTTGACCAACAGAATGTGGCTGAGGCCCTGCTTCCAAGATTAGGCCTGAACTGAGGTCCCCCAGCAGCCAGGCACCACCTGCCAAAGCGTGAATAAAGCTATCTTGGACCACCCAGCATAGCCAACCTGTGCTGAATGAAGCCACATGAATAAGCCTAAGAGAAACTTGCAGAGGAATCTCCGACCTTGCCCACAAGTTAGAGATATAAATCACTGTTTGAGGCAGTTCGTCATGCGGCAGTACTTAGCTGAAACTATTACCTTCCTACCTTGGCTGCTGGGCTAATTTCTCATCTCATGGAGCCACAGGGTTTTCTTGCCAACTGCAAAGAGTTGGCAAATGGGAATGACGATCACTAGCCTCAGTGTGTTCTCTGATCCACTCCATACTCTGTTGTCATCTCTATACTGCGAATACCGTTTATTCCTTTAAATGCAATGTGTCTTTCAAAACTGACTTGAATGTCCTCACCTTTCAAGTGGAGTTACCTGCCATTTTGAGTAACTTATTTGGGGGAGATAGGTAAAGACCCAGCGTAATGCCCGTATCCTCAATAAAAAGTATTTGCTGATACTCCTCCCTCCCCGGCCTGTGACCTGGCTGCTCTGGGCTTCTGGGGGCTCCCCCTAAACTCGCTCCACGAAATGCCCTCTCCAACCTGGCACACCCGCTCTCCTACCTTCACCCAGGGATGGCCGTTATCTCTGTGCGTCACGCGGGTAACTCCCATCTGAACTGGGAACTGGGGCCTTATGATTTTCGGTACTTTTATTTGAACGTGGGCCACGTCCCTGCATGGAATACGGTTCCTGCCTTGAAGGACCCTTACTTAACACCTCTGCGGGCTGCCTGGACTCCACGACCCCGCAGATGAAGGAGCCCACCGTGATCCCTGCGCGCCCCGCCTTCTCCGGCGCTTCCGGATGCTGGCTCTCAGGGGGCGGGACATGGTCGCGCGCAAGGCCTGCCGGGTGCTCGGGATCGGAAGCGCCTTCTCCAGCTCGAGCCATCGCGAGGCCGTGAGAAAGACCGGAAGCAGCAGGTGGGTGAAGCGGAAGCGCTTCTAATTGGGATGCTGTGGGCCGTGGCGCGTGGGCCGGTGTGGGCGTCCGTGAGCGCGCGGGGTCTCTGGCGGTGGACCTGCAGGTAGCCTCCGCCGGTGCTGAAGGCTTTTGTCTGCACACTTTTCCCTCAGCGCTGGGGACGACCTGATTTCACTGTTAGGAACTGTTGATCCTGAACACAGGAAGAGGGACGCGCCAGCTGTGTGCACGTCTCCTGAGAGCCAAAAGGGCGAAATAAAACATGAACACGATCATAATGAGATTCTAAGTAAGTTGTGTATTATCAGAGAGGGGGCAAAATAATAGGTTCTTGGCAAAGTTTTAAGAAGAAGCTGCCCCTGCCTAGAAAGATAAATGAGATGGTGCTGTTTTCACTTTCAGTTCAGTGATGGGGAGGCGTGTTTGGCAGTGCAGAGGTAGCGAATTGTCCCAAGAACGTGGAAGTTAAGGAAGTCTTCTGAGGAAAAACTTTATAAAATTAGTCATTAAAAGGTGAGAGTCAAGAGATGCAAAGTGATTTTGAGGGAACAAAATTTACCCAGACCTTCAAAGGCTTGACACTATCCCGACGACTGTGAAATATCCTGAAATACTGTGGGTTTTTTGAGACTGAGTCGCTCTGTTGCCCAGGCTGGAGTGCAGTGGCTCGAATCTAGGCTCACTACAACCTCCGGGTTCAAGCGATTCTTCTGCCTCAGCCTCCTGAGTAGCTGGGATTACTGGCGGCCACCACCAGGCCCTGCTGATTTTTGTATTTTTGGTAGAGATGGGATTTCACCATGTTGGCCAGGCTAGTCTCCAACTCCTGACCTTGTGATCCGTCTCGGCTTCCCAAAGTGCTGGAATTACCGACGTGAGCCACAGCGCCCAGTCATCTACTTTTTTAAATAGCCCTTTTTATCACCTTTATTCGTTTGACTCACTAAGTCAATTAACTAACTCACTAATTCCAGTGCTAAGAATGTCTGTCATGTAATTGAAGAAAACTTGGTTGAATTAATACCTTTGTTGTGTTTCATTCACACTGTATATACAATACCTGATGACTAGAGATATTTTGAGCACTATTATAATACATGCATTGGCTCAATACATGAATTGGATCAAATCTGCAGCCTTAACAAGATCATATTTTGGCTAAAGTCAAAATCTTGGACTACAGTTAATTTATCAAGGTAAATGCCACTTTGATGTGTTTTGGTTAGGAATCCTTGTTCAGTTGAGGGAATACATGTTATATAATAGGAACAGTAAGCACAGAATAGAGATGGGAAAGGGGTACCCTGTCTTGCGTTTGCCAAACATGAATGGCTTATGCATACGAACACATTCTCTCAACCATTTTATGAGGTCTGCGGCCCTTGAAGCAGCTAGAGGGTTAAACCATTTCCTAAAGTCATTCAGCGAAGTGTCAGAGCCAGGATAAAAAATGTAAGTTCTTAACTACTTTGTTATCCTGCCACACTCTGCATATGCAGACAAGAGTGAGAGCCTTAATCTTAGGAAAAGATATTTCACAAGATCTTTGACAATCTCTGTATCCACAGACACCATCCAGTTTGTTAGTGTCCACCACTCCTATTTGTTACTTCTCCTTTAAGGCTCCCCGCTACCTGAACTCTGGATCCCAAGACCACCACTTTCCCAAGGAAACTCCCTTCTCCAATGTTGCCCTCTCTTGACTCCCCTACCAGCATCTGAACATGCTCAGATCTTTTGCATCTTAAATCCTAACTCCACATTCCTTTCTAACTACTGCCCTAGCTTTTCCACTTCACAACTAGAATACATTCATTGTATCCACCTTGGTCCTCCTGTTACTCAGTACATATGATTCTTACCAAGATCACTGATAACCTTCTTGATACTGTTAACTGTAATAGATCCTTTTCAACCCTCATCTTATTTGCTCAGTCTTTGGCATTTGGCACCGTTAACCATCTTGTCTCCTTGAAACTTTCAAAATAACATTTTAAATTTTTCTCCCTTTTTTTCTATCCTCAGCTTCCTTTGGCAGCTCTCCGTTCATCTTCTGTATAGCCCTTAAATGTTGCTGCTCTTCAGGGTTATGTCACAGGCCCTTAAATCTTCTCACTGAATCATCTTCCTAGGCCTCAGTTACTATATCCATTGAGCTCTATGCCATTGGCTGCTAGTTCAACACAATCAAAATGAACCAATTATCTTAACCCCATACTTCCTCTTCCTATAAAATCTGTTCTAGGAAATTTCACCTCTTTCCACCTTTTTGCCAGACCAGAAATCAGAGCATAATATTAATAAAATAGTTAACACATATTGCATACTTTCTTCATTGCCAGGCACTCTTCTAACAGACTCAGCCTGATAATATGAGATGAGTACTGTCATTATCCATATATTAAATAACACATCTGAGGCACAGAAAGGTAATCTGCCTTAGGTCATTCAACTGATAAAGGATAGAGTTGGGATTTCAATGAGGGCAGTCTGGTTTGAGCTTGTAATCAGTATATCATAAAGGACATGATCCTTGATTTCTCTTTCTCTTAGCCTAATTCAACCAATTACCAAGTATTGTATATTCTCCATGCTTAAATCTCTGGGCGATATCTCTGAAGTATAAATCCAATCTTCCATTTGTTTAAAACCTCAGCCCTTGGCTAGTCCCTCATGCCTGTAATCCCAGCACTTTGGGATGCCAAGGGGGAGGACTATTTGAGCCCAGGAGTTTGAGACCAGCCTGGACAACAGAGTGAGACTTCATCTCTACCGGGAAAAAAAAAAAAAAAAAAAAGCCAGGCATGGTGGCACATGCTGGCTAAGGTGGGAGGATTGCTTGAACCCAGGAGGTCGACTCCAGTCTGGGCAAAAGCGTGAAACAAAAAACAAAACAAAACAAAACAAAACTTCAACACCTCCCCCATGATTCTCAGGGTAAAGTTCAAGCATTTAACGTGGATTTAAGGCTCTTTATAATCTTCTCTTGCCTTATTTTTAACTCCCATCCTTGTATTCCTAAGTAATAGCAAGTAGAATTAAATTATTTCTATGGGTCCTTTCTCCTTTTCCACTAAGCTGTTGCACATTGTTAGAATTCTTTTCTTCACCCCTTTTATGTCTCAGCTTCAATGTCACATCCACTAATTAGAGCGTTAGATGGCCCCTGATATACCTAACACCTATCACAGCATTTCAGACACTGTATTTTAATTATTGCCTTACTTGTTTTTTAGTATCTTCCACTAGATTGTGGAGATACTGGTTTCTTGAAGGCAAGGACCAGTTCACCTTCTTAATATCACTCATATCCATCCCCTTCTCTCTCTGTCTCTCTCTTTCTCTACTGCTGTACTTTAGGCCCCCATTATCTCTAGCTTGGACAACTGCCTTAGTCCGTTAACTGTTCTTCCTGTCCCTAGTCCATCCTTTCTTTAATCCATGCTCAACCCTGCAGAGGCAGATTTGTATAATGGCTGACTGAACACTTCCACCTTATAACTGCAGTGGAGCTTAGCTGCCTTTTAAAAAGTCCAAATATTATAGTTATTTACATGAATTTATCTCCTCCCATTTTCTATCTCCTTATTCCCTTGTACCTAGTAGGTACTCCATAAATATTTGTTGAATGAATGTGGTATTGTATCAAAGTCAGTCAAACAGAACCAAGAACAAAGAGGTTAACCGAAGTAATGCAGTCTCAGTGCAGAGGCTTCCTAGGACAGTATAGCTATAGGCTTTAGTGGAACTCGAGACTAGTAGTGTAACTCTTTATTTTAGGAGGGAATCCCCAGAACCTTACTGTAATTAGATGACTCTTTGTCTTTGCGTATGCCTGGAATCTGCTCCTCCCATTGCACTCCAGCCTGGGCAACAAGAGTGAAACTCCGTCTCAAAAAAAACAAAAAACAAAAAAGATATACGTAATGTGGCTGAGTGCAATGGCTGATGCCTGTAATCCCAGCACTTTGGGAGGCCAAGGTAGGAGAATCACTTGAGCCCAGGAGTTCGAGAACAGCCTGGACAACATGGTGAAATCCTGTCTGTAAGAGAAAAAAAAAAGATCTATTACATAATGTATTTGCAGCAGACTTACTGTTTGAAAACTGTGAAACTATTTCAACTGCAATTATTTGAAATTCGTCTTTATTTATTTCTTTTGAATATTCGGTTATAGCATTGCTAAAGACTAATTATAAAGCTAAAAGCCAAAAGCAACTGCACTGGATACTTAGAGATTAGTTTGGATTGAATAGCCAATAATTGATAGCTAGAAAATAGAATTTAATGTTCCTTTTTTTGATGAGTTAATTTATTTGTCTTCCATTTTTAAAAGCATGCTGATCCCATTTTCAATGAAGAATTGCTTCCAGTTACTTTGTAACCGCCAGGTCCCAACAGCTGGCTTTAAAAAAACAGTAAAAAATGGATTCATTATACATTCAATTTCCAATGATGTCTATCAAAATCTGGCTGTAGAAGACTGGATCCATGACCATATGAATCTAGAAGACAAACCAATTCTATTCTTTTGGCGGAATTCTCCCTCTGTTGTAATTGGTAGGCATCAAAATCCTTGGCAGGAATGTAACCTGAATCTGATGAGAGAAGAAGGTATAAAACTGGCTCGGAGAAGAAGTGGAGGAGGAGCAGTCTACCATGATATGGGTAATATCAATTTGACTTTCTTTACAACCAAAAAAAAGTATGATAGAATGGAAAATCTGAAACTAATTGTGAGAGCTCTGAATGCTATCCACCCTCAGCTGGATGTGCAGGCTACCAAAAGGTTTGACCTTTTACTTGATGGACAGTTTAAAATCTCAGGAACAGCCTCTAAGATTGGCCGGACCACTGCCTATCACCATTGCACTTTATTATGTAGTACTGATGGGACGTTCTTGTCTTCTTTGCTAAAGAGCCCTTACCAAGGGATCAGGAGCAACGCCACTGCTAGCATACCTTCCTTAGTGAAAAATCTTTTGGAAAAGGATCCCACTCTGACCTGTGAAGTACTAATGAATGCTGTCGCTACAGAGTATGCTGCTTATCATCAAACTGATAATCACATTCACCTAATAAACCCAACGGATGAGACACTGTTTCCTGGGATAAATAGCAAAGCTAAGGAACTACAAACCTGGGAGTGGATATATGGCAAAACTCCAAAGTTTAGTATAAATACTTCCTTTAATGTGTTATATGAGCAGTCACACTTGAACATTAAAGTATTCATAGACATAAAGAATGGAAAAATTGAAATCTGTAATATTGAAGCACCTGATCATTGGTTGCCATTAGAAATACTTGACAAATTAAATTCAAGTCTTGTTGGCAGTAAGTTTTGTCCAACTGAAACTACCATGCTAACAAATATATTACTTAGAACATGTCCACAAGACCACAAACTACACAGTAAATGGAATATTCTCTGTGAAAAAATTAAAGGAATAATGTGATTTTAAGTAAATTTCTTAATCAGTTAAGTTAGAAAATAAAGTCTCATACATGCACATTGTTAATGTCTCTTCAAAAAAAAAAAGAAAGCCTAGTCTCTCAGTAACTTCTCTCCATCTGAAATTATTTATAACCTATCGCTATCTCTGTATTTCTTTTGACCTCTAGGATCCTCTTTCTTCTCTTTCTTTTCTCATTGATTTTATTTTATTTATTTTGAGACAGTCTCACTCTGTCACCCAGGCTGGAGTACAGTGGCACAATCTTGGCCCACTGCAATCTTTATCTCCTGAGTTCAAATGAGTCTTATGCCTCAGCCACCCGAGTAGTTGGGACTACAGGCTTGTGCCACCACACCCAACTAATTTTTTTCTATTTTTAGTAGAGATGGGGTTTCACTGTGTTGGCCAGGCTAGTCTCGAACTCCTGGACTCAAATGATCCGACAGCCTCATCCTCCCAAAGTGCTGGGATTACAGGCATGAACCACCATGCTCTTTCTGTTCATTGATTTTTAATATCTGGTGCATATTTATATTTCAGCTGCTGCTGCTTTTACTGTCTTGAGGCTGTATACAATATTGGACACTGTGACCTCGGAATTAGTTCTCTGTTTTTCTTACCTCTCAGGGATATAACCCAGATCTTTCTTGCCACCTCTCCTTATATCTCAAACTCTAAAATTTTCCCTTTTAGTTATATTTTCTTATCTTTCTATTCTCTCCCACTAAAAATCAAGGCCGTTGCACTTTTCTAAGCTCTTAACCCTTCTCCAATCCCTCCTTGCATCATTTCCCTTCTATCCCAGCCTGAAATTTACTTTATGTTGTGCTTTCTTACCAGTATTCTCATTTGCTTCTCTCCTTTGACCTTCTACCATAGCCACTTTTTTAGTCTAAACAATTGATTTTCTACTCTTTTTGGCAGTGATGCTGGGAGGAAAGATCATATAATCATTGAAGATAGCCCAATTTGGTATATATAATTTTCACCTTATGTATCTTTCTGCTGTCAGATTTAATTCATCTCTGGTTGAGTACCCCTTATTCTTGAGGGGACTTACTCCAAAATTTTCCACTCTTCTCAAGCTCAGAATTCCACTACTCTTGTCACAAACTTTTATGCATAATTTGGTGAGAGTTGAGGCCTTCAGAAATGATCCCCTCTACCCGCTGTGACCCCCGTCCTCCCCTTTCCCCTCCCCTTATATTCTTTCAAGACAGGGTCTTACCCTTACCAGGCGGGAGTGCAGTGGCATGTTCATAGCTCACTACAGCCTTGAACTCCTGGGCTCAAGTGATCCTCTTGCTTCAGGTTCTGGAGTAGCTGGAACTACAGGTGCTCAACACCATGCCCTGCTCCCTCTTTTTTTATGAGTTATTTCTTTTAATATATCTCAGTTCCAGGCCCCTTCTTTTTTTTATTTTTAGGAAGAGCAGGCATGGACACAGGGTTTCGCTTACCACTGATTATGTCAGAGTGGGGGTGGGGTATGTGATTTTACTTTTTTTTTTTTTTTTTGAGATGGAGTTTCACTCATGTTACCCAGGCTGGAGTGCAATGGCGCGATCTCGGCTCACCGCAACCTCCGCCTCCTGGGTTCAGGCAATTCTCCTGCCTCAGCCTCCTGAGTAGCTGGGATTACAGGCATGCACCACCATGCCCAGCTAATTTTTTGTATTTTTAGTAGAGACGGGGTTTCACCATGTTGACCAGGATGGTCTCGATCTCTTGACCTCGTGATCCACCCGCCTCGGCCTCCCAAAGTGCTGGGATTACAGGCTTGAGCCACTGTGCCCGGCCTGTGATTTTACTTTTCAAGTTGTTCTTGGGACAAACATGATTGGCAGTTTAGCAGGTTTACTGGGCAGTTCCTTTTGTTATCTAGAAACAATATTAAATACCAAGTAAACACAGCTTTGAAGAGATTTGTCATGAGCATATTGCACTTGTTGCCACATGTGAAAATTATTTTCTGAGAAAGGTCAAAAATTTTCATATGATGTGCTTTACTGCAGTAATATCATTTGTTTCTCCAGAGAGGATATCATCAGGTGAAGGGTTTTAAGGGCTTCGAGTTCCAGATTTCTGAATGTCTGCATATGGGGGGAGAGAGGAGTCAAAATGTGTGTGTGTGTGTGTGTGTGTAGTGTGTGTGTGTGTGTGTGTGTGTGTATACACACACATACATATATATATATATGTAATGGCTCATATATATATAATTTTATTTATTTTTTGAGACAGAGTCTCACTCTGTCGCCTAGGTTGGAGTGCAGAAATGTGATCTCAGCTCATTGCAACCTCTGCCTTCCGGGTTCAAGTGATCTTCCCACCTCAGCCTCCTAAGCAGCTAGGACTACAGGCCTGCACCACCATGCCCAGCTAATTTTTATATTTTGAGTAAAGATGGGTTTTACTATGTTGGTCAGGCTGTTCTTGAATTCCTGACCTCAGGTGATCTGCCTGCCTCAGCTTCCCAAAGTGCTAGGATTACAGATGTGAGCCACTGCACCCAGCCTTTATGCCTAGATTTCTTATTTGAGATTGGATGGATGGGAGTATACATGGGGAGTAGGAGAATATATAAAAAAGTTCGATTGGGGTGTATTATATTTGAAATGTTTGTGTACTTCTGAGATGTCATATAGGCAGTTGAATAAGAACTCCAAGGAGAAGTCTTGGCTTAATTTGTAAATCTGAGGGCTGACAGCATATGAAAAGTATTTGAAGTCAAGAGAATAAATAATTTTGGACTTTTATAATCTAAAGTTTAAATTTTAAACTAAATATTCTGCATGAGTCCCCTTATATGTTTGGGGACTTCTCTACCTTGTAAGACCTGGTAGGAGGTAGAGCGTATTTCCTTCCATGGAAACAAAAGATTATTATACTCTTTCCTGGCCTTGCTTGAAGCACAGGTGTGGGCACATGACTTACTCTGCCAATCAGATGCACCTGCTCCATACTTTGAATGAGACACTAGTGATGCAGAAAATCTGGAATGATAAGAACCCTTCTCTGGAAGTAGCGACAGGAGCCTGAATTTCTGGGGTAACAAAGGCAATGAGGCTGGCAGTGGTAGTGTCTGTGCCAGTGATGTCAGTGATCTAGGCTGCTGCATCCAGCCCTTGCATCAGTGTCAGCAAGGGTGTCATCTGATCCATTCTGGGTAGTGATTCTAGATGTGATTTTTCACTGCAAAGCCTCTGTGTCTCAGTCTATACCTCAACTACCTACTATTCTTAAAATAAATCCCTTTTTTACTTATATCATCAGGTAGGAGCAGTTTTTGTTGCTTTTTACTAGGAACACTTACTGTGTAATCACTTAGGGAAAGAGTGTGAATTAAAAAGAAAAAAAAAAAAAGAGGTTACTACCTAATACCTAGCTTGGGAGAACTTCAGTATTTAAAAGGTAAGAAGAATGGAGGAAGAAAGTATGTTTCATGAAAGTCAAGAGTTCAAGAAGGGAGTAGCCAACTGGGTCAAGTGCTTCTGAAACATCACATAATACAAAAGATTAAAAATGCCCATTGGATATGATGGTATAGAGATCAGCATTGACCTTAGCAAAAATGATTTCAGTGGAGTGATTGGGGCAGTAGCCAGACTGAAGTGAGTTAAAGTGAATAGGTGGTAAGGAAATTTAAAAAAAAATAAATAAACACATACAGAGAGTACGCTTTCAAGAAGTTTGTTCATGAAGAATGAAAAAATAGGGTGGCATCTGGCTCAAGATGTATACTGATTGATGTAGTACAGCAGGAGAGATTGCTCTAAGGACCAAGCCCTTGTGGGAGGCTAAACGAGGTCAGGTCAAGGTCACTGCCAAAAATGTGGCCATCATCCTTATATATTAGGAATACTGACTCTAATTTTACAATTTGATCTCATTTTTTTTTAACTTAGTTTAGGGTTCCCTTCACTCAAGTTTTATATATTTACATGATCAAGTCTTTTGCTCTTTCCTTAATGATTCTGGGGCTTTCTGTTATACTCAGTTCATTAAGTGGGATTTTAATATATATATATATATTACATTAGCTCTGTAATACATTTAGAATTATTTCTTTATATGTCAACATCATTATAGAAAAACTTTTGTATGTGGAGTGAGATTGAGGCCTTAATGTTATTTTTTCCAACCATTTAATATCTCCACTAATTTGAAATGTCACCTTTATTATATATTAAATATCCATTCATACACATTTACTTTCTCTCTTTCAAATGTGTTTCTGGATTCTTTTATTCTATCCCACTGATTTGTTTGCCCATGCCTATGCCCACACATTTTTAAGAAAATTATTATAGCTGTGTCTTTACAGCTGGTCAAGCAAGTCTCCTAGTGTTAGTGTCTTTTGTCATTTAATTTATAAATTAAGTTACAGAGAACTGACATTATGTCTTCCCATTCAGAAATATAATTTATCTTTCTAGTTACCCTAATTTTCTTTTATATCCTTCCATAAAGCTTATAGTTGTTCATATAGTTCTTATACATTTCTTGATATATTTAAACTGCACCTGGTAGGCTTCTGGTGCTCTAATTAGATCTGGGGATAGAACTCCAAATATCTAGAATGGATAGCATGTCTGTAGACTCTTTTCTTTAAATATCACTGTCTTAGCCAGGACTTTAATAGGAGTTGGATAAAAGTTAATTACATGGGGTTGTGGATTGCTAATTCTCCATAGTAACAGATTCATATGCTTTAGATCAGAATTGTTATTTCAACATGAAGGTAAAGAGGCCTAACACTTGTTCTCACCTTAATTAACAGCTACTCCGTTTCCATGTGGCATTGGGCACCAGGCAAGATGAGCTAAGATACTTCACAGAAAGGAACTTTGGATCAGGTCAACACTTACTCAAGTGTTTTCCTGAGACCCTGAATTTCCATATGATAAAGCTTAGCAAGAATCTAAAACTTTTCAGATTCAGTATTATCAGCACCTAAACCTGAAAACACAAAAAACAAAATCAGGAACTGTTCTGGAAGCCCTTCCTGTCCTTTTATGCCAGCTCTATCTTGTACCTACTAGCTGTCCCACAAAAGCAAAACAGTGTCCAAGGCTTGCACAAGACCACTCTGTCCAACCTTATTCCCGTGGTCTCTATCTTTGGTCCTCCACATTGTTTAACTCTGTTGAACAGTCCTCAGATGTGACATTTATATGTGCACTCTCCAATACTGAACACTGGTAGCTTTTTCTTTAAGCTGTGGACTGCCCACTATCTCTAGCATACATCCCCTCTTCCAGCTTGTCTCCATGGAATCTAATCTGTCTCCAGCCACACAACTGGCATCTGGATGAAAAGCTTACCCAGAACAGTTGATTCTCCACCGCAGGGCTTTACAAATGTGCCAGCCAAAGTGGATAAGCTGCAAAATACATTTAGATAATTGAATGGGTTGATTTGCCTTTATGGAGGTCAACTGCAAGATAGTAAATGTTTACTAAAGACAATTATCTTAGACGTAACAAAATTAACATTTTATTTTTTTCCTGTTTATTAGACCCCAAGCCCATCTGGGTTTTTTTTGTTTGTTTTTTTCCTTTTTCTTTTTTGAGACAGGGTCTGGCTCTATCACCCAGGCTAGAGTGTAGGCTCAGCTCGCTGCAGCCTCAACCTCCTAGGTTCAAGTGATCCTTCCGCCTCAGCCTTCCAAGTAGCTGGGACGCAGTTTGATTTTTTTTTTGCAGAAACAGGTTGCCCAGGCTCCATTTGTCTCTTTAAAAGCACCCTAATACATGGTATCTTTCCCTCCTGGACTCAAAACTCCCACAAAGTTAAGAACTAATTTATCTTCCTAATAGTTGCTCATAATTTGTTGACATGATCCCACAGCCAAATAACAGAAAAGCTGGTAAAATGTTTAAATTAGCTGTATTACTTGAAAGAAACATTGTAAATCTACTCAGTAGTGTATTTACAAAAATATTTAGGATTGTTCCCACAACTGAACAATGGATCTATAGATTAGTAAAAATATAAAAGTTTATTGTTAAATTCATACATTATAAAGTGATCTGTTAAAAAAAAATCCAATATTCACTTAAAGTAGAAATAATATAAATTAGGCTACTGCCCATCATATATTTTTTGTATGCTTCTTATGAAAAATGTCCACCGTTGTTTCATGACATGGTCTTAAATCAAAATCACAATATCCAAGAGAAAAACGACTCTAAGAAGAGAAGAAAAGAGTATCATTAAAAATAATACAAAAACAGTGCTACACATTTACTCATAAGATTAAATCCTACCTGTGGTTTCTTAAAATAATCAAGTCCCCTTCCAATCTTAATCATCCATCCATTGTTGAACCTGTTGAAATTAGTATATAGCATTATATTCAAGACATTTAAGTCAGACTTAATAAAGCTGCAGTGTATTAACTGTCAGCAAAATTCCCCCTAACAAAGTAAACCACTTCCACCAGTGGCATGAATTGAATCAAACCTGGGGTTCATTATGAGCTGTGTTCACAATGAAAACGGTCATAGAAACAATCAGTTGATTTAATTATTTGATAGTTTAACAATTAAAATTTAATCTTGAATTTCAGCTTGTTGACAAAACTTTTTCATGTTCTGCTAACAAGTGGTGGCAAACGTGGTGTTTCAAGAGTTCCCCTACCTAGAGATGGGGAATGTGCAGGAGGAGCTCTGGACCCTGACCTCTGCTATAGCAGCTGCATTTTCATCTGTTTTGCATATTTAGTTTGTGATTTTTTTTATTAAAACTGAGTTCCCTTGCTATAAACATATAACCACTCTGTTAAACAAAAGGAAGACATCACTAAAATAACTGCATATACTTTTTTATAGACTCAGCAAATTGTCATGCCTACTAGAATGTTTAATAACCTATAAAATGTAAAACCACATTAAGTAAATATTAAGTTCACTAAAAAATAAATTATCCTAATATCATAACACTATATATACAATTGAGTAGACAGAAAACTATTCACTTTCTACATGACACAGAACATGTAAATAGTATTCCATTAGGAAATATTAAACTCACACACAAAACACTTGGCTTAGTTTTGGACAAAGTAAGCCAACTGTTTTTTTCTTCTCAAAAGTGAAAAATTACTAAATTGAGTTTTATTTAAATTTTAAATATTTATAAATAAATATTAAATATTTATATGAAATTATATAAAACATTAAGAGACATTTTAAAAGTATATATCAAAGACTGAATAAAAATTAAAACATTATTGTAGACTAACCTAATTTCTCGGTCATGTATTGAAGAAGAGTATTGTACTTCCAACAGCACTCCATGACTCCTGAGTGACTCTTCTATTTCTTTCAGGCCCCTACTTTGCTGCACTTGCTCACTGCCCTGTTAATAGCAAAATTATTATCTGCCTCAGTTATTATTGATATCTTAAATTATCCCCAAGCTATACAATGAATATCATAGGTGGATTAAGATGGAAATGTTCTATACTAGTTTCAATCTCAATTATCTCAAAGAAGCAACCAATGTGAGATAGTTTAAAGAACAACTGTTTTTATCAAGATAATTGTTTTTTTTTTTTTCCTAATGTGAATGTAACTCCATCCTGTCTCCTTAAATGTAGTTTAGAATAGTTTGTCATCCAGGTGGAGTGGGCTTCTTTGGAAATCAATCACAGAAATCATTATTTAGAAGCATTCCTATTTTAAGTCAAAACCAAGATAGAGATGCCCACTACCATATCATGCTACCATCCCTCAGATAAAATAATTGGTAAAGAAACAAAATTATCCATAGTGCAGACAGTGCAACTGCCTCCTAGAACACCCAAGAGACTAAACTAACAAACTATTTGAATAAGAGCATTTAGCAAAGTGGCCAAATACAAAATCAGCATCCTAAAATCAATAACATTTTTTTTCATGACATGCTATGCATACTGTTAGATAATAAATTAATTCCCAAGGAAATAAATCTGGCTTAATCACTGCATCTGTGTTTTCCTTGACTGGACTACATCTTGTAAGTGAATAAAGTTATTAAGAAAGAGTAAGTGCTTTCAGGTACCTACTTCATCCAGAGAGGTGAGCAGGTGAATAGTTTTTACTTTACATGGTCTCTTAATAAGCATCTCACAAAATCGAAGAAAGTTATACAGCTAAAAGACATTAGAATGGATTATTACTAACAGTACATTGAAATGAATATTTTATTACATTTTAGTATATTCACATACCTGATGAGTATGTCTAATATAAGGATCTTCTATCCAAACTTCTGTAACTGTCTCATTAAGGTATTCACGAAAAAGTGACTCATAACTGAAACCTGTTGCATTCTCTTCTATTTTAATTTGCTTGTGATATTTTCCATCTATAAAACACAAGCTTCAACAATAAAACCAGTGACCATTTTTTACACATTTTGTATTTTATATATAGTGATTAGCATCAGATACATATTAATTTTTAAATTTATTCACTGAGCAAATATTTATTGAATGCCTACGAAATATCATACACATTGCAGGATGTTACACATTCAAAGGTATTTAAGGCAAACCACTCCATTAGTGATTTCTGCCTTCACAGAGACTAGGCAATGGGGAAAATCCAATGAGGTTTCCTAGAACAGGTCCTTGAGCCAGATCCTATAGACCAGGCAGTTTGCTGAAGGGAGTAGTGCATGCATAAGGGTATCCAATAACTTCCTGTCACCATGGGTAGCACCACATGCTATATAACTCAGTAGCAATCTAGCCCTTCTCTTCAGACTTGTTTTTTTATGTCTTGCAATCTAATTACTGAAGTGAATATTAAACATGAATGCAGGGCCGGGAGCAATGGCTCACGCCTGTAATCCCACCATTTTTGGAGGCCTAGGTGGGTAGATCATTTGAGGTCAGGAGTTTGAGTCCAGCAACATGGTGAAACCCCACCTCTACTAAAAATACAAAAATTAGTTGGGCATGTTGCCGAGCACCTCTGTAGTCTCAGCTACTTGGGAGGCTGAGGCAAGAGAATCACTTGAACCCAATAGGTGGAGGTTCCAGTGAGCTAAGATTGCGCCACTGCACACCAGCCTAGGTGACAGAGTGAGACTCTGCCTCAAAAAAAAAAAAAAAAAGAAAAGAAACATGAATACAGTATAATATGGAGCTCTGAAGTCTTTCTTGGCACATGTAGAGTTTTAAACAGAAATTTATAGTACTTCTTAATAACCCAAGCTGAAGACTGGGATGTCACAGGATCAGTGGGAGAGATCTATTGCTTTTGTTAATTCAAAATAAATACTGAATAAGTTATCAGAAACCTTTAAGGTTTTAAAAAAAATATGACCCCTAATGGTAGTCCCTAAATTATATGGTATCCCCTAAATTATACTACACACATACTTCTGTTCCAAATAGTTCCACAGAGATAATGTTGGCAACAATGCCTTATTTTTTAAGCCAAGCTAGCCACACAGAGGCTAATTTAATTCCATGTATTCAAACCACAATGCTAATGGTACTATATTTCATCAATGTTTTGGAGTAAAATTTCATTCTAGATTTCAAATTGGAGTGAAGGAAACATAATGTTATTCCCACAGAACAAAGGAGCTCAGTGGCGGTCCCCAGGGTATGTATTGATAGAGAATAGTGGGAAGAGATGGGGAAAGGGGTGCAGAAAGTAGAGAGAAGAAGAACAGCTGGGGCTTGGGGACACTGGCTTTTGAGGGCAGCAGTACCTTTGGCCATAGACAAGCAGCAGTAGTGTGCACTCAGGTAAGAGTGGAAATGGCCATTTACAGACATTTGTAAACTGGATGCTTAGGAGTAGGGAACTAATAATCAATAGGGAACAATACCTACCTCACCTCTAATCGTTAGGAATACTTAACTCCTGAGGTGTTTTGATTCACAACAAAATCTGAGAGAAATCCTGAGTTTCTTTAGCTTCTTTCATGATTTTGTTCATTTCATAAAGGGAAATATAAATAAAATACACAATTTACATTCAGTATTTCTCTGTAGTATTTCTTAACATAGGGTACACATAAGCATCATAGGGATCTGTGAACTCCTTAAAAATGGCATGTAACATTCTGCAGTATGCATAGCTTTCATCAGATGTTCAAAGGGGTTCTGACATCCCTGCTCCCAACTAAAAAAAAAAAAAAAGATTAAAAACAACTCCTGTATGGGAGTGTAAAGGCAGAGTAAATCCTGTAAGCTCCCAGGGACGACTGGTCCAGACCACACAGAGCTCCAAAGGGCAGGAGCCAGAAACACGGACGGTCACTGTAGTTTACGGACATGTTTTCTAAAACAGCCTCTTTACCCTCTTTTTCTTGGTCCAAGTACTTCTTTATGTTTTCCGCTCTGTCCATGTATTTGGAAATTCTTTCTCTGAGATTACATCTCTTAGTATTATCTTTGGTACCTAAAAGTTAAAAATATATTATCAGTTATCAAAACAGTTTTTCTGTTTAATTCAGGCATTATTTTCAGTGTCTCAAGTTTTCTACAAATTGCCTATCCTTTAGTATGGTTTGCCAGTCAAATACACACAATAAGTTCAAATTTGTCTTGAACATATAAGACCTTCATTTTTACACTAAGCATGTGATGTAGCTTAGTTTAGGAGTGGGAACTCCTGACACTGTGTCTCATCTCTGGGACACCAAATCTAGTGGGATGAAAGTGGCTTATTACATGTCAAATTCATGTCTGAGCACTATTTTATCCTAATTACCCACAAGTTTGAAGCTTTAGCATAAATAAAAGATAGCAAATATTTATCTTCCACAAAACCAGCTTTTCTTCCAGACCTCCCCATTATGGTTAATGCACAGTCATTTTTCCAGCTACCCCAAGTGTTATTTTTGAATACACATGATCATAAAGTTTTACCCCAACGACTCCTCCTTCCAAATCAGTCACCAAATCACTTCTTGTTCCTTCTCTTCCTTCCTTTTGACATTGCTTATATTTTCCATAATAATTTCATTTTAATCTCTCATTTTAAAAAGCATTTTCAGTTAATGTTATATTTACAGAAAAGTTGCAAAAATGGCACAGATAACCTCCTTCACCTAGATTCCCCTAATGTTAACATATTACAAACAAACTATAAGTATCAGAGCTAGGAAATTAACACTGATACAATACTATGAACTCGTCTACAAACCTTATCTGAATTTCACCAATTTTCCCATTAATGAAAGTTTGTTTTCTGGTCCAGGATCTCACACTGCATTTAGTTATGTCTCCTTAGTCTCCTCCAAGCTGTGATAGTTCCTTAATCTTTCTCTGCCGTCTATGACCTTGACCTTTAAGAATAATATTGGTCAGTTATTTTTGTAAAATGTCTCTCATTTTGGATGGTCTGATGTTTTCTCATGATTAGACTTGGTTTATGCATTTTTGGTAAGAAAATCACAGAAGTGATGTGTCTTGCTCAGTGGGTGCATGATGCTGATATGTCTTACTACTGATGACATTAACTTTGACCACTTGGTAAAGGTGTAGTTCAGATGTCTCCACTGTAAAATCACTATTTTCTTTTTTGTAATTTGTAAGTACCTTATGAAAAGATATCATGCTTCTCATTACTCTTTCTCCCACTAATTTTAACATCTATTGATGGTCCTTGCCTGCAACAACTATGACTGTGACGTTTGCAAAATGGTTTTCTATTTCCATAATTCCTTCTCAATCTGTTTATTCAATTAAAGAGTATGGGCTCATGAATATTTATTTTATTCTATGAGTCATAATCCAATACTATATTTTCCTGCTCAAATTGTATCAGCTTCGGCTTTGATATCTCCTTCATGTTGGTTCCTCTGTCCTTCTGTCAAGCTCCCATCGATATTGAATATGTCCTTACATTTTGATGTAAGATTTTTTTGTTTTTGTTTTGTTTTGTTGAGACAGGGTCAGGCTCTGTTGCCCAGGATGGAGTGCAGCAGCGTGATCTCAGCTCACTGCAACCTCTGCCTTCCAAGCACAAGGAATCCTCCCACCCCAGCCTCCCAAGTAGCTGAGACTACAGGCACGCACTACCATGCCTGGCTAATTTTTGTATTTCTTTTCTATTTCCTGCAGAGACAGAGTATCATCATGTTGCCCAGGCTGGTCTCAAACTCCTGGGCTCAGGCAATCCACCTGCCTTGGCCTCCCAAAGTGCTGGGATTGCAGGCATGAGCCACCATGCACAGCCACAAGATGTTTTAAACCAAACTTGTCCAACCCTTGCATGCGGCCCAGGACAGCTTTGAACAAGGCCCAACACAAATTCGTAAACTCTGTGAAAACATTATGAGGGGCGTGTATGTGAGCTCATCAGCTGTCATTTGTGTTAGTGTATTTTATATGTAGCCCACAACAATTCTTTTTCCAATGTGGCCCAGGGAAGCCAAAAGATTTCTTAAAACTCATCTTGTTTATTTTTTCCCCCAACCCTGAAATACACTTTTCCAAGCAGCCTCAGTCACGTTTATTGAAGACTGGTATTGAGAAACCAAAATCTGAGTGCCAGGCGTGTTCACTTCTACTGGGGAAGTCCCACCACTACTCCTAGACCCTCTCAGTCAATACAGCTAGGAAGTATATGTAGGNAGACAGAGTCTCATGCCTGGAATTACAGGCATGAGCCACTGCACCTGGCTGTCAACATTCTTAAATCTCTTTCCTTACATGCTTCCCAAACCTTCTTAAATAGTACCATCTCAGCTCACTCCAACCTCCGCCTCCTGGGTTCAAGTGATTCTCCTGCCTGAGACTTCTTTGTAGCTGGGATTACAGGTGTGCACCACCATGCCTGGTTAATTTTTGTATTTTTAGTAGAGACAGGGTTTCACCATGTTGTCCAGGCTGGTCTTGAACTCCTGACCTCAGGTGATCCACCTGCCTCAGCCTCCCAAAGTGCTGGGATTACAGGCACGAGCCACTGCCACAGCCAGGGAACTACACAACTGTCAGGTCAAGAGCATACAGTGGAAGTGATGCTACATGACTTCCGAGCCCAGGTGGGAAGTGACATTGCAGCTTGTTTGCTGAAACTCTTACACTTGGAGTCCTGAGCCACCATGGAGGAAGTCCCTCCAAGCTGAGACCACCATGCCATGAGGAAACCAGGCTACACAGAGAAGCCAGAGGTAGGCACTCCAGTCAGTACATCTGATCTTCAAGTCCTCCCAGCCCAGGTGCCACTCATGCAAGTGCATAGGCTTCAGATGACTGCAACCCCCAGCTATCAAAGCATCTATAGACTTAGAGTCTTCTCAACTGACACCCCAAACATCATGGGGCAGAATCAAGTCCCCACTGTGCCTATCCAGCTCCCTGGCTTAAACAATCCATTGGCATAATAAAATGGTAGTTGTTTTAAACCACCGAAGTTGTGGAGTATTTGCAGTACATCAGTAATAACCAGAATAGGGCATAAAGCAATCCCCTTTGGTTTCCTAATTCCTCCCCTCCAAGAAATCCCAGGGTATTTGAGCCCCTTCCTGATGGGAGGAAAGCAGTCAACCAGAGCATATGATTATTTTGAGGAAAAGAGGGGTTTTAGCATCTTGGAACCAAGCTTTACAGGGCCCCTTCTGCCAGTGGAAGCCAGCCCCTTGCCTAGGCTGATCTAGTCACCCACTTCCAGCCCCACCCTGGCCCAGTCCTCCTTGAAGCCCCTGAGCGTCTAGGAGACTCAGAGACACTGTGCTGCCTGCTGAGTTCATCTCCTAGTGAGCTATCTGAGAAAAGGAGGTGAGGTTCAGAACGTGATGTCAACCTAAGCATTACATAAGACTGATAGGATGTAAAACAGCCTCACTGCCTAGTGCTCATTCTAATTGGCCACAATTCAGTCCTCCCTGTTGCACTGAGTCAGCTCCCTCCAAAGTCGATGCTTTCCAGGCCTCTCCTTGCCCTTTCCCAGCAGATCTTTCAAGTGCTCACCCACACTCACATAAACATGGCTCAGGCACTGTTTTACAGCAGCTCTCCTCTGTGCATTCTCCTGGCTTCTCCAGTCACTTGTCCCCCTCACCCCAACTTGAGTGATAATGATTGGTCCTGAGATGCAAATATTTAATGCAAATATGTTTACAATCAATGGAGCATCAGCTTTTTTTTTTTTTTTTTTTTAGAGAGAGAGACAGGGTTTCACCATGTTAGCCAGGCTGGTCTCAAACTCCTGACCTCAAGTAATCTGCCCACTTCAGCCTCCCAAAGTACTGGGATTACAGGTGTGAACCACTGCACCTGGCCTCTAACTGTAATTTTATACCCTTTGACCAACCTCTCCCCATTCCTCTTAACTTCACAGCTTCTGGTAATCATTATTCTACTCTCTACTTCTATGATACCAACATTTTTAGATTCCACATATGAGTGAGATCGTGTGGTATTTGTCTTTCTGTGTCTGGTTTGTTTCACTTAACAGTTTCCTACAAGTTCGTCCATATCTCAAATTACAGGATTTCATTTTATATGGCTGAACAGTATTCCACTATGTATATGTACCACATTTTCTTTATCCATTCATCTGCTGATGGACACTTGGGTTGATTCCATATCTTGGCTGTTATGAATAGTGCTGTAGTAAACATGGGAGTACAAATATCTCCTTGAAGTAATGATTTCATTTCCTTTGGATATATACCCAGTAATGGGATTGATGGTCGTTCTCTTTTTAGTGTTTTGAGGAATCTCCATACATTTTCTATATTGGCTATACTCACCTCTTATTTTGATCCCAGCAGGAGCTCCTTAATTGATCTGCTTTACTTCAGTCTCTACAGGTTAATGTCTATTTTACATCCTTGCCATATTCAGTCCTTTATTCAAGAAATACTTATTGAGAACTAACAACATGCCAGGCATTGTTCTAAGTGCTGTAGATACAGCAGTTAATAAAACAGACACAATTCTCCTCTATTGTTCAAGTAGGAAGAAAGAGAACAATAAAAATAAATTGGTGAAACATGTATATTAGGCTGAAATAAGTGCTATTAAATAAAGTCATGAAAGATGACAGGGAGCACTGGGATAGGGTTATAATTGTATACTGGAGATCAGGAGGCTTCACAAAGAAGGTGATATTTGTGTAAAGGCCTGAAGTAGAAGAGAGAGTATGTCATGCAAATATTTGTGAGAAAGAGCATATTCCTGAAAGAGACCAGTCCTAAAATGCAACTCCAATTATGTTACTCCTTTGTAAAAACCTTAAATGGTTTCTCCTTACCTGGGAAATGAGTTAAAATCTCCTGGTAGTCAAGGCCATCCACAATGTGACCCAAGCCCTTATCTACCTTTAAACTTTACCTCTCATTCTTCCTCTTCAGACGCATGCTCAATCAAACTTAACTACTTATTTGGTAAGGACAGGCAGAATTTGAAGACTCTTAGATGAATTTCTGACTTCTGAAATTCTTTTTCCTCCAAAGCCCCAATCAAACTCCACCTCTACCTTTCCACCCTCACATGACCTTTAACTGTTTAAATCCTCATTGCACTTACCTATAGATATCTCTCTCCTGGCACTTATGTATTAGCGCTATTTGCATTTTGGGTCTTAACCCATCTATGTCATGTCACTGTCTCTGTAACCTCTACGGGATCAGTGAAGCACACTGGAGCAGAACTGTGATTCTCCTGCTTGAGATTCCTAGAGCAGCCAAAACTTGAGCAGTGTTCTGCCTGACCAACCCAATATACCATCTCTCTTTGGGGATTTGGTATACCAGTCATTGAGGCCTTGGGCTCCAACTAAGACTCTACCACCTGCTCCAACTGTGACTCTACCACCTCCTAGTGACAGAACTTGAAAGCTTACAATACTTTTTATGCTGTAAAATGAGAATACCATCAACTCCTACTTGATAGGGCAATTGGTACGGATGAAACAAGATCATGCTTTTAATGTTCTCTGCAGTGCCTGGCACTCAGCACTGAAATGTGATAGCTACGCTTATTGCTGTTGTCATCATTATCGTCAAATAATGCCTCAGGCAACGTTTATACTACTGACTAAAGCACCAAACCATGAAGGACTCCCTCTGCTGCCTCAAAGCTTCTGTAACACTTTAATTATAACAAGCTTAAACTAGAAAGCACAGAGGAAGCGATCTTAGTCCAGACCAGGAGTGCCAGGGCGTCTTATCAATTTAATACATAAATACTGAGTATCCACTGTGAGCCAAGATTGTACTGGATGTTAAGGATATTTGGGTATTTCTCAACATTGAATAACTACATATTAGGAAAAGTCTCACTGTCCCCTCCACAACCCTGCACATTTTTCACAACGAACTTCATCCATTAAAGAAAAACTTTTCAGGGCCGGGCACAGTGGCTCAAGCCTGTAATCCCAGCACTTTGGGAGGCCGAAGCGGGTGGATCACGAGGTCAAGAGATCGAGACCATCCTGGTCAACATGGTGAAACCCCGTCTCTATTAAAAATACAAAAAATTAGCTGGGCATGGTGGTGCGTGCCTGTAATCCCAGCTACTCAGGAGGCTGAGGCAGGAGAATTGCCTGAAACCAGGAGGCGGAGGTTGCGGTGAGCCGAGATCNTTTTGTAGAGATAGGGTCTCACTGTTTCCCACTCTGGTCTCAAACTCCTGAGTTCAAGCAATCTTCCTGCCTTGGTCTCTCAAAGTGCTGGGATTACAGGTGTGAGCCACTGCATCTGGTTGTCAACATTCTTAAATCTCTTTCCTTACATGCTTCCTAAACCTCTCAACCGAAACGAGGATACTCGATGTCCTATTTTCCCCAGGGCAGGCCTGGTTTATGCCCATTTCACTCGTAAAAGTGCCCAATTTGGGTAATAATTTATAAGATCCCCCTCCAATTCCTGTCCTTCTATCACTTCATCCCTTGCCCTCCTTTGAAATGAGACAAACCTCTGCCAAAGTTGTCAGCAGGAATCCTGGGCAAGAACACACCACCTTGT